ACTTGTTGAATAAGAGAAAGTGTCGTGGTAGCCAAAAAGTAATTTTAATGGGCTCCCAGGGTAGATAGAGGACCTAGGTAAAGAGATCGAAAATCCTGGATCAGACAGTTAGGGAAGCAATGGAACCTCGTAATTGAGAAGCTGATTGTGTCTAAATCGAGATGTGTTGTGTGGCAAAATAAAATCGCAAATCGCAACAAAGTCGCAAATCACAGCTATAAATTATACTTGTTGCAAAAAGTATCATGATAAGCCAAAAATTAATGGGCTCCCCAGGGCAGATAGGAGGACCTAGGTAAGAGGTAAGATCGAGAAAATCCTGGATCAGGGCGTTGAAGCAATGGAACCTCGTAATTGAGGAAGCTGATTGTCCTAAATCGAGATGTATTTGTGTGGCAAAATAAAATCACCAAATCACCAGCAAGTGTAATCGCAGCTATAGTTGCCATTGCATAAAAAGTGTCGCAGTAGCAAAAAGAAGTGTTTAATGACTCCCCAGGGCAGATAGGAGGACTGGGTAAAGGTAGATCCGAGAAAATCCTGGATCGGAACGGTTAAAGGGAAGCAATGGAACCTCATGGTAGAGAAGCTGGTGTGTCCTAAATCGAGATGTGTTGTGTGGCAAAAATAAAATCGCAAATCGCAACAAAGTCGCAAATCACTATAATAGTTATACTTGTTGCATAAAAAAGTGTCGTGGTAGCCAAAAAAAGTGTTTTAATGGGCTCCCCAGGGCAGATAGGAATAGGTAAAGAGGTAGATCGAGAAAATCCTGGATCGGAACGGTTAAGAAAGCAATGGAGCTCATGGTGAGAAGCTGATTGTGTCCTAAATCAAGGATATTTGTGTGGCTTAATAATCGCAAATCACCAACAAAATACAATCACAGCAAAATCACAAATCACAGCAAGTCATAAATCGCAGCTATAGTTATACTTGTTGAATAAAGAAAGTGTCGTGGTAGCCAAAAAGTGTTTAATGGGCTCCCAGGGTAGATAGGGGACCTAGGTAGGAAGTAGATCCGAGGAAAATCCTGGATCGGAACGGTTAAAGAGCAATGGAACCTCGAAATTGAGAAGCTGATTGTGTCCCTAAATCGAGATGTGTTGTGTGGCAAAAATAAAATCGCAAATCGCAACAAAGTCGCAAATCACGCAGCTATAGTTATACTTGTTGCATAAAAAGTGTCGCGGTAGCCAAAAGAAGTGTTTTTAATGGGCTCCCCAGGGCATATAGGAGGACCTAGGTAAGAGGTAGATCGGCGTCCTGGATCGGAACGGTTAAGGAAGCAATGGAACCTCGTAATTGAGAAGCTGATTGTGTCCTAAATCGAGATGTGTTGTGTGGCAAAATAAAATCGCAAATCGCAACAAAGTCGCAAATCGCAGCTATAGTTATACTTGTTGCATAAAAAAGTGTCGTGGTAGCCAAAAAAAGTGTTTTAATGGGCTCCCCAGGGCAGATAGGAGGACCTAGGTAAGAGGTAGATCGAGAAAATCCTGGATCGGAACGGTTAAGGAAGCAATGGAACCTCGTAATTGAGAAGCTGATTGTGTCCTAAATCGAGATGTGTTATGTGGCAATAAAATCGCAAATCGCAACAAAGTCGCAAATCGCAGCTATATTTATACTTGTTGCATAAAAAAGTGTCGTGGTAGCCAAAAAAAGTGTTTTAATGGGCTCCCCAGGACAGATAGGAGGACCTAGGTAAGAGGTAGATCGAGAAAATCCTGGATCGGAACGGTTAAGGAAGCAATGGAACCTCGAAATTGAGAAGCTGATTGTGTCCTAAATCGAGATGTGTTGTGTAGTGTAATGGAAAGACAGCAATAGGCTGTAGTTGGAAACAAGTATTATAAGTATACTTAAATCAAATCCCGTTTATGCATGTATGATAGAAAAAAATTGGCAGCAAGCATTAAATAAAATTATTAAAAATCGATTAAAGATAGCGCTTGTTGTTCCGGTAAATATACCGGGTGCGTCTTAAAAGTGTCTTAACCCTATAACTTTTTTATTTTTTTAGATAAAAAAAAACTGAGAGATTTGGTATGTTAGTATATAAAAAAATAATGCAGTTTATGTAGAATTCTATAAGAAACACAAAAATGGTAAAAGAAATAGGGGTTGCTATTTAAAATTTTAGGGGTAGGTGCCCTGGGGGTCAAGGGGTTGAAAGTAACACGACAACAAATGCCTCAAAAATTGTCCCCCTTGATATGTAAATTGACGTGTTTCGCCAAATTTTCATACTATCATCGGTAGAGGCAGTATTAAATACTGTTCGTTTTCCAATTGTCACCCTGTATAAAGAGAATATTTGTCCTTTCTCAGTTATAAATATATTCTTTTCTATAAAATTCTAAAAGTTTCCATAATGGTTTGTTTACCATTGTTTTTCTTTGAATTAAAGTTATATGTTCGAGAAATATTTAAGTATGCAGTACATGTGGATATAATCGGTTTGTATAACATGTACCTTTAAATGACGGAACTGTATTTATTTTATTGTAATGTTATAATGGGAAATTTTCTAGATTTGTCGAGGTCTGTTTTAGTATTAGACATATTATGGAATATATTAAATCAATTGACGAATATACAGGGTGTAAATAAATAATATGCTTTTATTATTTTTCTTATTATTTTTTAAAGAAATAATAAAAGCTTTTTGTGTGAAAAAGGAAAAACAAAGAACTGTAATGTTTGTTACCTCGATCTGATAACAGTATCTTTTTTTATGTTGTGGATAAGTTATTTTATTTTGTGTGATAAAACACAACTTTAACAAAGTAACGTACCTCTGCAAAACCCTTCGGATAGTGTGGAGTTCTGCGATTTGTTTTTGCATATACTTTTTTGACCATCTGGCAACACAGAGCGTCGAATAATCTGAAAAGCACTTAATAGCATGCTTCATTTTTTTTTAACTTTCCAAGTTAAATGACGGTTATTTTCAATTTATTTTAAAAATGATATAAAGAAAATATGTTTCTTTTGACCAGATTTACCACTTACAATACTTGCACTTATTTCTGAGACACCCTATATCTATGAAAAGATTTTTAAAATAACCCCTAACGGAAAACCTGATATAGAGATTTCTTTCAAAATATGAATAAGAAAACAATAAGGAAATAAAATCAACATCATAAATATTATTATAGTTGCGAAATAGTAAACTTACTAATGTTTTTTTATAATTCTCTTAACAGTTTACGTGTTTCATTTTTTAAAAATAGTTACCTAGTAATAAAACTTGATTTTTTATTTTATTTATTTTTCTCTACCTTGCATCTGACATTGGAACGAAGTATGGATTTCCTATAGAAATGACCTTCCCCAAGCCGCAGGCATCGAACTTTTAAGAGAAATCATAATAAACACATTCAGAGAGTAAATATTTTCGTAATTAATTTAATTAATTTTGATAGTGGTTGTAAATTTATTACATATTTATTATTATTATTTGAAAATGTATATTATATATTATGTTTTATATAGCAATAAACTACCATGACCGTTAATTATTATGTGACGGTAGTTTGCAAAACATACAAGAATGTAGATTGTAGATTGTTTTGGAGGGGGGTTAATCACCGCAGATCTATTGTGTGTCCCTCTTCCTTGAGTTATAACGAGTTCTAACTCATCATACAGTCTCTGGGCTTTGACAAAATCCAGTATCTGAGACGGCTTCACAGAGGCTCACTTTATGACTCGAATCGTTGTCGACTCGGCGCACTCAGTGATGGGGTGTTCTGGTGTTTCCCCATTTTCCACACAGAATCTGCATTCGTCGTTCTTTCTTATATTGAAGTATTTGTTGAGGAGACATATTGAGTGTCCTGTTAAAAACCCCGTGACAATCTGAAGATTGTTCTTACTTCTTCAAGGAAAGGTAAATTGTACGCATCTTTCGATAGTGTAGATTTCGCCTGAACGATACTGGGGTATAGGGAAATTAAAATAACTTCTGTTGCACATCATAATACGACCACCAGCAAACTCCATAAGACGACGCATGGTGTCATTGATGACGTGCAACGGAAATTGTTCCAATTTTCCTACACGTGTCCATTGATTCGGAGTATTTAGATTTCGGCCTAAATACTCCTATCCCTGGTTTGGTTTTAGGAGCGTTAGTATACCACCACGTTATGGTATGGTCTTTTACCTGCTGAGCATATGTTTCTCTTCCAATTTTTTTTATCGTTCACAACTATGCTATTTTGCTATTTGTTGCTATTTTTTTCAAACGCCACAAATTATTTTAAATATTAAACAATTTCAAACGTTCAATTTTCCATCACGTCGCAAAAATTATTACTTTTGTGACGTTTGAAAAAAATCATATTTTGTCATTTTTTGGATGTCGCATGTCGTGAGCGAATCTAGATAATTCTCCATCTATTTTTAGTCCTTTGTTGGTCTAGGCTAGCTTACGGAAGATTTCTTCTAGGACTGCTGTAAACAGCTTTGGGGATATCGTCTCCCTGTCGTACTCCTTTGCCAGTTGGGAACTTTGCGGTTGTTTTATATATCATTACTCTTAAGGCGGGTTCTCACTTGTCAGTTTCGCTGACGCAGTCTGACTGATTCAGTGATACTGAACAAATAATGAACGTCAGAACACATTTTCATGTTAAATGATCAGTAAATTCGTACTTTCAGTTAAAGTGAAAACCAGTTCTACTTTTTTCATTTTTGACTGATCATTATCGAATAATGAATAGAAACTGAAGCGTACTTTTGCTTCTTTGTATAATTGGTGAGAGTTTCTATGTAAGGCCTGTCAATATTTTGTTTCGCTATGGCTTGTATTATTGCTTTAGGATATAACGTGTCGAAAACCTTCACAAAGTCTATAAAGGCTATGTCTATTTCACGTATACCTACTATATATAAACTATTATATACTATAATTTTATAAACTTTTAAACAATTCTAAATGTCATAAAGCTTGGCATTAAAAATATATTATCTGTTACTTGTTTCAGAAAGAAGAATCGTTTTACATGCAGACAAAAAGTATCGTTGGCAATATTAGCAGCGGCAGATTTTATCTGCTTTTGCTCCATGTCCATAATGTCGCCGTTTTATCCAGCCATTGCTACCAAAAAAGGAATGACAGACACTATGTCCGGCCTAGTGTTCGGATTTTACGCTTTAGTAATGTTTCTTTCTTCACCAGTGATTGGTAAAGTAGTAAGTTATTGGTCCGTAGTTGTAGAGATTTATATTGTTTTCTTAAAAAATAATCCATTTAAACCGGATGTGTTTCAAAAGGGTTTTTCCTCTATAACTATTTTATTTTTTCACATAGAAAAATGAGATTTGGTACGTTAGTATATGACACAAATCAGGATTGATTGACGTATTCAATTGTTTTCGGTCACTTTCTGATTCACCGGAAAAGACTGAACTTTTGATTTTTAAATGACACCTCGATATTTTTTTATTTTATTCGATAGAAAATGACACTCTGAATAGAATGATATATCATTTATATGTCAACTAACTTTTGACATTTTCGCATATGTTTTTTTAATTGTAACATGCGGTTCATAACGACAATTTGAGTCGAAATACCAAGTGTATGGTACCAAATTATTCGTAAAAAATTCTTTTTCTAAGTATGCTAATGAGCCACCCTCGTTCCATTTGAAAAAAATGAGATATTATTAAAAATATGCTTTGGGCATTTTTTAACCGGCCAGGATAAGACACGAAAAACATTAGACGATCAAATCTATTTTTCCAAGGCTTCTTGATTAAAAATTAGTGTTTTTAGAACAGCCTTGCAACTCTATATTATGAAGATGAAATTTAAAATACAGTTTTTTAAGCGAGTATCATTTCCTATCGAATAAAGTAAAGAAATACACGGTCATTTACGGTGAAATAGAAAGTAATCGAAAACAGTTGAATACGTCAATCAATTCTAATTTAAGTCATATACTAACATATCAAATCTCGTTTTTTTATCTGAAAAAATAAAGAAGTTATAGAAGTGAGCCACTTTTGAGAAATACACGGTATATAGATAGATGATTTGTTGAATCTATTCTGAGTTATGGGATTCTGGAGTGGAGAAATGCATCCAAAACTTTGACCAAAACAGTTTTTTAAAGGCTTTTAAACATTTTACAAAATTACATATTAAAAGTGATATTTAGAAAACCGAAATTATTTCACACTGAGTTGCTATATTCGATTCCCCAATCTTAAACATTCTCAATGTCGTTAGATTTATGCTATTAGAATCCGAAAAAAAAACAATACACCATAATTATAGCACTAGAGCTAATATACACAAACATCTTAATCTTACGAAAAACAGAACTGCGTTGGGTATGAATTCGCTAAATTATATGGGACCAAAATTGTATTCCTCTGGAGATATGCAGAATAAGTAACATTCATAAATTTAATCTACAATGTAAAAAATATACAGGGTGGTCCGAACTGTATTCCGGAAACTTCGGTAGCATATTCTACAGATAAAAATAAGTAAAAAAGTTCGTATAAATGTATTTCCTAAAATGGAAATAAATTGGAAAAAATCGAAATAAAAATGAAATTTCTACACCCTGTATCTCCGAAACTAACCATTTTAGGACATACATTTATACAAAGTAATGTCAATATTTGGATAAAAGTTGGTGTCTGGGAGTTTTATGGCACGAGAAATTTGATTTTGATGTCAATATGACTCCTATTTGTAGGGGGCACCTCCTGCATGTATTTCAACTGTTTTGAAGAGTAATAACTTTTTGTCCGTACCTGTATATAACTACTTACTGAAAAAATATACATTTCCGTGTTTTTTTACATAAAAAATGTCTCTTGGTAAAAAGCGCTACGAGCAACCGTTCTCAAGATATTAAGAATTGGAACTGTCAATACATGTCATTGACAAAAAATAAACCTTCAATTTCAAAACTTCATTCAATAAAATGGCAAATTTTGGAACTTTTTATTTTTTTTAATTAATCATAAATTTTTCTTCGAAAAAATGATGATAAAATAGTTTCTGTTCAACTTTTGGCGCCAAAACATTTGAAATTTATGATTTCAGTCTAATTTCTATTTAGTCAACAGGTTTAGTTTATGTCAATGACAGTAGATCTCGAGAACCATTACTCGTAGCGATTTTTACCAAGAGACTTTTTTTTGCGTACAAAACGTTGTAAATGTATATTTTCTTACTCAGTAGTTTTATACAGGTACGGACGAAAAGTTACTACTCTTCAAACCAGATAAAAAATATGTAGGTAGCGCCCTCTACCAGTAGAAGTCATATTGACATCAAAATCGAATTTTTCATGTCAAAAAACTCCCAGACACCAATTTTCATCCAACTATATATACGTTACTTCAGAAATTATTTGGAAAAAATATAAAAATAAAAATGAAACTTCTACACTCTATATCTCCGAAATTAAGCATTTTAGGACATATATTTATATAAAATTTTTTAGTTATTTTTATCTGCAGAATATGCTGCCGAAGTTTCCGGAATACAGTTTGGACCACCCTGTATATTTATTATTATATTATATTATTATTTTTTGAATTTTATTCGATTAAAGTTCGATGCCCTCTAATGGACAAACGAAGCTTTTTGTGTAAAAGTGCTTCGAATTTTCGTAAAGTTTTAAACGTTTTATGTGGACATTTCTTTAATAATTTGCATCTTTTCTTATAAAGAAAATTGGTTTTACTATATGATATATTTTTTCAGCTTCCTAAAGTTGGCGCAAAGAATATTTTTATTTACGGATTATTTGTATCAGGAACTTCCAGTATTATTTTCGGGTAACTTAACTTATTAGAATAGACATGAAATATTGCATTATTATAATTAATCTGTTTTAGATTATTAGATAAAATTGAAAGTTATACACCATTTGTGATATTATCCTTCCTAATAAGAGGAATGGAAGCTTTAGGTTCTAGTGCCTATAGTACAGCTAGTTACGTACTTATAATAAATATATTTCCAGACCATGCAGGAGCTGTTAGAGTAAGTATAACAGAATTAGAATAAGTATAAGTACATGTAATAGCTTCACTGCAATTATATCATCAAAACTCAATAATTTATTGATATAGAAATAACATTACAGTTTAAGCGTTCTTATGTCTATTGCTGACATTTGGTAATCATCATTTTTCATGTTCATGACATATGTTAAAATGGTTTTATATTGTATATTGGGTATGATGAATTGATTTGCATATTTTTTTTGTTAACTTAATATTTTTTTATTACCTATTTTTTGCAAACCTTTTGATATATCCTGTATGTAAGAGCATACAACACAATAAATTAATTGTCATTATTGGAGTTAAATTTAATAATTTGTTTACTAACTCAACTCTATACAACTATATAAACAGGGTCTCCCAATATTCTGTGGTCATAGAACTCCTACGTATTTTTATAATCAAAAAAAGTTAATTAAATATTATTTACTTCTATAAAAAAGTGCTTCATTTGTACGTTAGAAGACATCAAATTAAAAAAAATAATTAGTTCTTTAAAGATATGTACTTTAAGAACCGGTATTCTGATTTGAATGCGATTAGGGTTGTCTATGTTTTGCTAGGTGCTTCAACATTTGACTTTTACAAAAAAAAACACAGAGGGTTTAGCATGAGGTTTAGCACAAGTTTAGCACAAATGTTTTGCAATTGTACTGTAACAACTGATTTCTTTTTGTAAAAAGGTTCTTCTTGTAAGTATTTACTACATTTTTCTCTCTTGTATAAAAACGTCACCTTGCATAGTTGTTGAGAAAAAGAAAGAGGTTTTCCGAAGCTGATCTACGAAAATTATTTCTTGTCACATCAAACGTTAAATCTAGTAAGCCATAATAGTCTAGTTTTGAAAATGTGGAATTTTATGTTAGTGTCACAAATGATTTTTGACAATAGTCTTTTTACATTTTTAATTAATTAACGGTTGGGTTCTTTGAATAAGAAGACTAAGGAAGGAGCATATCAAAAATCTTAGGTACACCGCGATGGGCTTCAAATATGGCCGACTTAAATTCCGGTTTATCAGTGTCGTTCTAATTTTATTTAAAAAATGTAAAACTATGATGTAGGATAGACGTGGGGTAGACTCAATAATTTGTTGTTTTATTTTACGTTGTGAATAAATGTTGGTAGTTATTAAAATTGTTATAAAAATATATAATTCTAATAAAAATAGATAAGTTATAATAAGTATTTATTAACACACTATACGCTACTGAAGCAGGTAAGTCAAATTAACATATCTAAATTCTTTGACATCTAATCTTTGACAAGTAATAAATAAAAGCTAAAATGCAAGAAAAATATATAATTTAGTTAATTTAAGTGAATTTCATAAATGATCGGTTTACTACACGTATGTATATTATATAGTCACTTACGAGCGAAAAGTTGTTCCATTATTTCACTCAATTTTTGCCGAGATCTACCGCACGCTACACAACCAACTATTTTAGAGTCTTTTTCGATAAATCGCGATAGTGTCACTGTTAATTTAAGTTCTGCCACAATTTCCATCTAGATTTACTACCTTTATACAACTATCAGTAGTAGAATAAATAATAAATAACATAAAATAAGCTCCGTAAAGACTGACAAATCCACAAAATTTCAAATCAAATTCAAATGTGTCAAATGAATCGTCAAACAGAACTGTCAAGGATCCCCACCCTAGAGAGCTTTTATGGTGGCTTTTCCGCCCACCATGCATGAATACATGGATAGCATTATGCTCCTTCCTTAGTCTTCTTATTCAAAGGTTGGGTTTATGTTTTATTGATGCCCTCTAACGGATAAATTAAACACTTTTGTGAAATAACGGATAAGTGAAACACTTTAATGAAACATTCTAACGGATAAATGAAACACTTTTCTTCTAAACAAAAGTGTTTCATTTATCCGTTAGAGGACATCAATAAAAACACAAACCCAACCGTTAATTAATTTAAAATTTAAAAGGATTATTATTATTTTTGTAATGATAATAATCTTTTTAATGAATTTTATGATTTTTTTAATTAAATGAAACACTTTTGTTTAGAAGAAAATTGTGTCCAAATACAGGTTGATTCTCACTTATACCTTCCGCATCCGCTACTTTCCGTTTCCCTTCCATTTACGTAAAATATTATATCATGTAAATGCAATGAATGGGAAGGGGAAGGCAATCCGTTCCGTTTCCGTACCGTTTCCATGGTTACGTTTAATAGTGCGAATACAATCAAATTTTATGTACGGAGCGGAAAGTATAGTGAGAGAATCAACCTTAACCTTTAACATTTTTTCCAAAAGTACGTAGTAGTTTCTATGTTCACGGAATATTGTACTGGTAAGAGCCTCTATAACCATATCCGTCCGGTACAACTCACATTTTCTACAAGTTACAACAGTTTTATAGGCTTTAAGATTTAAAGCAAAATATTTGCTGATTGATTTTAGCTTTATATTTAGGTTATTATACCGTATGATCGAATAAAAACGGCGTCAGCGATGGCTATGAAATGAAGATCGCTGTCATTTTATATGTAAATTTATATGGGAAATGTCATCGATCGTCATTTCCCGGCCAACTGGACGCCGTTTTTTTTCGATCATACGGTACTTTTTATTTAAGTTTTTTCTATGGATCGAAACATATTTACAGGTTGTCCCATTTTTGTGTGTTTTATGAGTAGATTAAAGATGCAATTTTCACATTACTATTCTGGTCTTTTATAAAACTAAACAGATTTATTCTAGCCGTCTTATAGTTCCTGAAATACAGGGCGATTTGAAAATGTTTTATTTCTCTTCCTTTGTAGCTCGGTTATCTTACTCACTTACTACCGTTACTCGCTGACGAGTATTTGACACGCATCAAAAGATGGTTACGCAAGGCGTTTTCTTTCATGAGCTTTTCTGTGACTGAAAAGCCCGATAAGTGATGTTATCTCTCTTCCGCACTCTTGACATTCAACTAAAAGGATTTCGGTTATCTTATAACTGAATAAAAAGATGAAAAGTCCTATAGAGTCCCTGAGTCCTATAGAGTTTTCCACGTAAAACCCAGTGGCATAACTGGATTTTCGCTGATATGACCCAAACCTTTGCCCAAACATAACTTTTTTTTTAAATAGAATGTCCTGTGGCCTATATTTTATTTTTGTATTGTTACGATGTAGGCAACCACTGATAAAACACACCAATGCAACTTCTTCACGGGCGAATACCTGGCTGTAGTATAAAAGCTCAGTAGTTTTAGGAATTACACCGAAGTGTAAACTAAACTGACAACGGTCAGTGATTCTTCTGACCGAAACGTTGTGTTAATCAAAATAAATAAAGACAATGGAAGTCCGAAATTCTTTTAGTTTCATTGTAATCTAAAAGCTGCACAAGTTCATTTTCGGTACAGTTTAGTAACATAACACGGCGGACAGCAAAACTATCTAGTTAAATTAAAAAAAAATAATAATACTCTTTTAAACTAGGTTGATTTAGGCATAAATAGGCAAATAAAATAAAAAAATAATATACATACTATAATCTAGTACTGGTTCCATTTAGACAGCTCCCAGCGAAAAACTAGTTACGCCACTGTATTTTAAGTGAAAAATTCTATGGGGCTCATTTTTCATAAGTTATAAGTTAACCGAGATACGGAGGGGGTCGAAAAATGCAATATTTTCAAATTCACTCTGTATTTCAGGAACTAAGAGGGTTAGGACAAATTTGTGTGTAGCAGTATCTTTGGCTTCATCAAAAAGTAGCACAGTAATGTAAAATCCTCATCTTTGTATCTCTACTCATAAACGAAAAACCACATAAAACACACAAAAGTGAGATATCTTATACTTTGACCTAATACCGGATGTTTCATAAAATATGTCCTATCTCTCGTGGGGAGATTCCTCTCATAAAAATAAGATTTATTTTTCATATCAATATAGGTCCGATTCTGCTTTGTTTCATAGCTACAGGGAGTTAAAGTGTTATTTTTTTTTCAATTTATTATAAATTTATTTCAAGTGCTTTTAGCGATTCGAACATGGTAGAAGAGGTAAAAGTTACTATAAATACGACATATAATAATGCTAAAAAAATGTCGACAAATTCACCAGAAACGTGCATTTGGGTTATCACTGGGATATTTGCGTGGTGCACATGTTTTTCTAAAAAATATGTGCCCCCACTAACTTGTTTTTCTTTTGTTAGCAAAATTGTATAGGCCTCTTGATATTTTGTCGATTTTGGTCTCCTAGGTGCGATAAACGTAATTTAATGTATATGGCTTAATTCAGTTCTAATATCAGCCTTTTACCTTAATTTATCAACTAAAATTTTAACGTCATTAACTGGTCAAAATGTTAAATAAATAGTCGTTGAATCCTGATCAAAAAATACGAAAAAAGTTCCTATAAACATGGATGCGGAAATGCATAGTTTTTAAGTTACAGGATGTTAAAACTTTTTAAAAATAGGTCTTTTATAATTAAATTTAACTAGCGTGTACCAGCGACTTCGTTCGCGTCGAATTAATCATTTGTAATGGTGATGATAAAGCAAAGCAAGAATTTCCATTAACATACAAACTGGATAAAATTTTCTCACATTTATGTCAGCATGAGAAAAAACTATATGGCGATATTATTATATAACTTGGTAATATTTGAGGTGTAGTTTCATGTCGTTGGAATTTGACTTTCGAAAAATCCGTTTGCCAAAAATAAGCTTTTTACGTCAAGCAGTTTAAGCAGAATCGTGGTTAAGAAATTACCCAGCTTTTTGGAACACCCTGTATGATTTTTTAAAAAATTTCAAGCGTTTTCCCGAAAGACTAACTGTTTTTTAAATAACAAATATTGTAATATTTGAGGGGCGTTTTCACCCTCTTGGAATTTGAGATTCGAAAAATTCCTCCTTATCGAACCTCTACACCCCACAGTCAATCCGTATGCCAAAAATCAGCTTTAAACGTCAAGCAGTTTAAGCAGAATCGTGATTACTCAATGGTCATATTTTATAAAACACCCTGTATAAATTTATAAAAAATCTTAAAATATGTAAAACAACAAAATAAAATATACGTGTTTAAGAGTCTTTCCGAAAAACTCACCGGTTTTTAAATAAAAAAATAATTTAATATTTGAGGGATAGTTTCACCCCCTTAGAATTCGAGTTTCGAATTATCCCTTCTTATCGAACCTCTACACCCTAAAGTCAATCTGTTTTCCAAAAATCAGCTTTTTACGTCAAGCGCTTTAAGCAGGATCTTGATTAATCAATGACAGTGGCGTAGCGACAAATTATGCCCCACCCCCGCGAAACTTGAGTTAGGCCCCCCCCGGCCTCCTCCCATATTCCCTATTTTGGGAATAATTCTATATTTATATTATTTTATTTCCGGACCTCAGAGGTTTCGGGCCCCCTTTGGGCCTCCCCCCCCCGCAGCTTCGGTGGTTTGCGGTAGTAACGCTAGGCCAATGACCAATGACCAGATTTTTCGAAACACCCTGTATACATTTTTAAAAAATCTTAAAATATGTAAAAAAACAAAATAAAATATACGTGTTAACAACAAAATAATTTATTAGTTTTATTTTAATTTTAATTTTATAAATTGTGATTAATAAAATTAGGTTTATATTATCAAGTTTATTATGGACAATATAGAAAGACACAACTTTTAATAGGCATTAAATGGTCTACACAGTTTTGATCGCAAGAGAAAAAAAAAACTCAGTGGTGCACATGCTTTTTTAGAAGAAAAGTATTCCAGTGATAACCCATATGCACGTCCCTGTAAAATGGTAAATCTGTCGACACTTTTTTAGAATTAAAATATGATTCAAAATTCTCAAAATTTCATTGGAATTGCTAAAAGCTGATTCAATTCATATCAAAAAAATGATAATAAATCGAAAAAGAATGAAAACTTTAACCCCCTGTAGCTACGAAACAAAGCAGAATCGGACCTATGTTGATATGTAAAATAAATCTTAATAGTTAAAGTTAATAAATAGATGGCACATGTTTTTTGAAAATTATTTTTAATAAAATAAATTATTATTTTGTATATTATTCAATTTTAGGGCCTTCTGGAAACATTTGTTGGATTAGGTTTAAGTGCTGGACCCGCAGTCGGAGGAGTATTATTTACGGTATGAGTTTTCACGATTCATCAAACGATATCATAAAACAAATAATCGTATTTCCGACTTTGATAATAAATGTCAATTTAATAAATTATTAATGAGAATCAAAAAACGACAAAAATATTTTTCTGATTTTAAGGTCTAGGTCGTTCAGTTTGTGTTATTAGCAAAATGTAGGTACGTTTTTTTAAAGCTAAATTTTTGATTTTTGCTTTAAGGAAATATAATTAATACATTTTCTATTCAACACTATCCTGCAGGCATATACCCAAAAAATATACGAATTAATTGTATTATTGTAGGTACTATCACAGATAGAATAGAAGTCTATAAATAGTAGAATACGCAGAATATACTAACGAAAGTAGAATATAAAATTTCTTATTTTTTAATATAATTTCCAATTTTAAAAACACCAATTTTTAGTTGATAAGAATTATAAACTTCTGTTAGCATCATATCACAGTTATAATACTTTATATAAAATAAGCTCTCCAAAGTCTGAGGTATGATTATGCTTTAATATGAAAAATTGTTTTAAACTCTTTTGTTGGTAAATAATTACTGAATGTAGTTTCTTCTAGGAAGGTTGGAGGGTTTGGTTTATCATTTTACGTTGTTGGAGTGGCCACGATCCTGATAGCATTTTTAAATATTTATTTATTGGCAAATCCTGAGAGTAAGTATATTTTTATTACGTATTTTGTATGGTCTTCTGTGTCGGATACACTGCAATCTTGAAAACGTATTAGGCAAATGGTTCCTATCAAGATTAATATTAAGTAGGGTTTCCAAGATGGTTATTATTAATTTTGATTGACGTCATATTTTTTGCTGTATTTTAAGTATCATATTTTCCGATACCTATTATCACCCTTTCCTTGTACTAAATAGCCTTAAACTCTCTTGAACTAAATAATTAGCTTTTTTCGTTTTCCTGTTATTACCGATTCTGAACCGTCCTAGAATTGTGATGCGTATGCGCAGAAGGAAATATGAAGACATTATTTCATTTGCGCATGCGCTGGAGAGTTCTAGGACGATTCAGAATCGATAATAACAGGAAAACGAACAGACTTATTGTTGTAACATTTTAAAACAGCAAAAATATGACGTTTATTAAAATTCTATCAATGATAATCTCTCAAAGAATGAAAGCGAAATTATATTACCATAGAAACGTTTAGATTTTGAGGACTTTGAAGACTTAATTCAACCATATTTTCAAATTTCTCTAAAACGGTATGAAAATTTGGAAGAGTATAAACGCGATTAACGATTTTAGAATAAGCAAAAATTTTTATGGAGAATGCATTTTCCTCGAAATGTTAATAATAATTTTTTCTTTTGTAAAGAATCCAGAGATATACTGTATATATAAATTTAATGTAAAAAATATTTTGTATCACCCTGTTTTGTATCACCCCCAAAATTTAAATATTTTACTGATAAAAATGCAATGAAAAATAGAAGTATAAAAATAGACTACTTTTTTTGGGACACCCTATAGGTATAAAACAAAATATTTTTAGAATATGCACCTTTATAAACAATGCAATATTTATATATTTTTTTATATCTCCAATGAAATATACTTAACGACGTATTCCCATACATAATAATTACATACAAAAATTGATGAAAACCGTTTCGGAGGAGTGCGACCACAAATACCGTGACACGAGATTTTCATACAGGGTGTTTTAAAAAACATGTGCGATCTCCGGTGGGGAAATTCCTCATGGAAAAATAAAAAAAAAATAATTTATATATTATAGATTCTGCTTTGTTTCGTAGCTACAGGGGGTTAAAACTTCATTTTTTATCGATTTATTATAATTTTCTTCCAAGTGCTTTTAGCGATTCAAATGTAATTTGAGTGTAAAAGTTACTATAAGTGCTACATATTTTAATGCTAAAAAAGTGTCTACATATTCACCAGAGACGTGCATATGGGTTATTATATCTCTAGAATATTTAAAAAAAAACATGTACGCCACTGACCTTTTCTTCCTTTGTTAGCAAAATTATGTAGGCCGTTTAATGCCGATTAATAGTTGAATCTTGATATTTTGCCAATTTCGGTCTCCTTGCTGAGATAAACGCAATTTTATGAATTTGCCTTAATCCAAGTCTTATAGCAATAAAATGTTTAATGGGTCATTAACTGACCAAAGTGTTAAATAAGTACTCATTGATTCCTTGTGCAAAAAATGAAAATAAGATGTTAAAACTTTTAAAAAATTGGTCTTTTTGTAATAAACTCAAATACCATTATTTTTTTTTAGGATTTGCTGTAGGTAGCCCTAAAAATCAGTGTAATAAATTTTAATAAAATATAATAATAGTCTATGATAATAATAGATTAGGCTAAATAAATGATTTATTAATCTTAATTCTATATTGTGTCTACTAATTGTGCTTAATAAAATTGCAATTATCTCATCAAGGAGATTGAAATCGACAAAATATCAAGATACAACTTTTAATCGGCATTAAACGGCCTACATAATTTTGCTAACAAGAGAAAAAAGTCAGTGGTGCACATGTTTTTTTAGAAAAATGTTTCAGTGATAACCCATACGCACGTCCCTGTTGAATATGTAGACACTTTCTAAGCATTAAAATATGTAGCACTTAAAGTAACTTTTACATTCAAAATTTCATTTTAATTTCTAAAAGCACTTAAGAAGTAGATAATTATAGCAAAACGAAAAAAAAAATATTTTAACCCCTTGTAGCTTCGGAACAAAGCAGAATTGGACCTATGTTAACATGAAAAATAAATCTTATTTTTACGTGAGGAAGCTCCCTACAAGTGATGGCACATGTTTATTGAAACACCCCGGATATTAGATATAATTATTTTACTTAATTAAAAATAACGGATACACATAAAGATAATAATTATTATAATAAATATAAACTGGAATGTTTGAGCTTATAATAACAGGTCTCGTAAATTAGGAAAATCCAGTAAAATAATAATAAATAATATCGAATTTTTGAACAACATAATTTTAATTACTACGTTACAATTAATTGTATATTTTATTATTAATAAAAAAATATTATTTTAAAAATTTAATATTAATGCGATGTGCAATAGAAGAAGTAAATTCCTAAATAGTTCTATAATTTTAAACGAGTAATTTAATTACATGTTAATGTTTCTTTGCAGAAAATGACTTGGAGAAAAGTGGGTCCCTATTAAACTTGTTGAAGCTCCCTTCAGTACTAATTACCTGCTTAATTATAATTATAAGTTCCATGACAAGTTCATTTCTCGAGCCGACATTAGAACCTCATTTAAGAAAGGTAAGCAAATTATTGAGAATGTTGCAACATGCAGTCTAAGCTAGTAGCTATTTTGATAAACTGACAAAAAATATTTATTTTGACCAGATTTACCAAGTAGTTTGGATATTAACCAGTTAGATGTTAGATTCTAAACTAACTGCTTTTTACCTGCTATTTTATAAGATTGAACCAATTCCTTCAAGATAACAGCAACTTTTAGGTAGTTTGTAAAATGGATATGGATCGGCTCAGAACATAACGGGTGGTACATCGGCATGGGAAACATAGGAAAACCCATGCAAATTTTGAACTGTCCAAATAGTTCAGTTAAAAATTGTAGTCAACACAACAAATTACATATGGCAATAATAAAATCTTTGAATAGAATCACAGGTTGGTTGACAACTTTGTTAACATTTGTCTGGTTTTGCATTGTTACCTATTCAGTTTTAATTTAAAAAGAGATGCAGTTTTTCGTAAATTAGTTAAAATCGCTACTGAGAAGTTTGCTACTAGCAGGGGATAAAGAAGACCTAGATTATAGCCCGTAAACTAAAAGAAACCTATGTGGACTGGAGGGGGACTAACAATAAATATGGAAAAAAACGAATTACTTGTACAGGGTGGGTCAAATTCGACGCTTTTAAATGGAAACACCCTTTTCTATAGGAGATAGACCAGTGATTCCCAAAGTGGTCCAGGTGGACCCCCAGGGGTCCACGGGAGACTTGCTGGGGGTCTACGTAGGCGTGAACAAAAAATGGGGGTCCATAAGATGTTAATGGGGGTCCACGAAAATTTATCTGCTTTTGATAGTAAAGAGCAAAAATGTAAGCATAGTTTTTATAAGGGCCTATTTCCAAAGCACCTTTTACGTAGAATTTAATGGTTTAAGTATAATTTTTTAAAATTAATAATTTAAGAGTTATCAACAGAAAAATTGATTTTTTATTTGGGACATCGGTTGGAAAATTGATTTTTATTTGGGACAACGGATATATATTTTTAATTAACTGAAAAGAATTTAAAATTACCTTTCCAAAAATATAGCACACTTCATATTTTGTTATAATCTCCTTCAAAATACAGAATTTTTAAAAGTTCGCCACTTTTAACTAGTAGGCTTTGGACTCCTTATTGATGATATGCCCTTAATGGAACTCGAAAACATTATTTTTCCAGCAAGACGACGCACCGCCTCTGAACGCTGAAGTTATCCGCAAATTTTTGCAGCCAATTTCAAGAATAATTGAATAGCTAACCAAGATCCCAGCCATTGGCCGTCGAGACCGCCTAACTTAGTGCCCATGGATCTAATCCTATGCATATATTTGCGGAAGAATGAAGGTTCCTTATTCTTCCATATTATGTAGACAAGAATTAAAAATACTTAGCAGTTATGAGGGGGTATCTTTCACCCCCACCGAGTTAATGAATTCCGCGAGAAATGTTCAAAAACTGACCCGTCTGTCCATAACAGAAGACGGTCGATATGTCGAACACCTGTAGCAAAATCTCATGTCTTGGTTTGCTATTTATTTTTATTGTTATTAGATATAGTTCAAATGTGTTGATGTTGGTTAAATATATTTTAAATTGTTATAAAATTCTGCATCTCTCATAGCAAATATTATTTTCGTTTTAATTGATGCTCACAGCTAGAATTTTTTTGCATTACAGCCGGTGCCGTTCAAAGCCTACTTATTTAAAGCCGGCGAATTTTTATATACTCTATATCTCGAAGAGGAATTTAGCAAAATATCAAGTGTGTTATATTTTTGGAAAGCTAATTTTAAATTCTTTTCAATAAATTAAAATATACAGGGTGTCCTATATAAAAATCAAATTTTCTGTTGATAATTCTTAAATTATTAATTTTAAAAAATTATACTTAAACCATTAAATTCTACGTAAAAAGGTACTTTGGAAATGTTTTCGAAAAAAAACAAAATTTTCCATAGCAAAAAAGTTACAGCGATTTGTTAAAAATGCATATTTTTGAAAAACACCCCGTAACTCCGAAACGGTAACAGATATCGATATGCGGTTTTCACCATCATGTTTTTGACAAAAATTAAGCTCCAGACACTGATATTAGTTTTTGTCTATCTCCTATAGAAAAGGGTGTTTCCATTTAAAAGCGTCGAATTTGACCCACCCTGTACATAGGAAGGGAAAATTGTAACCTACAACTGGAAAACTCAGAAAAAATAGAAACCTGTGAGGTATACTTTGGAGGTATATAAATATTTAGGGGTGACATTTGACAAAACGGGTTCAGACAAGGAAATAAAAACGAGAGTGATACATCTCTGGAGTAAAATAATTACGAAACGTAGGAAATCTATACTAATATATAAAATCCTTAAGTGACTGATATACTGATTAATCACGATCCTGCTCAAACCACTCAACGTAAGAAGCTCAATTTTGGCATACAGGTTGATTCTAGGGTGTAGAGGTTCGATAATAAGGGATTTTCCGAAATTCCAGTTCCAAGAGGGTGAAGCCACCCCTCAAATATTACAATATTTTTTATTTAAAAAACGGTCAAGTTTCCGAAAAAACGCTTAAACACGTATATTTTATTTTGTTTTTTTACATATTTTAAGATTTTTTAAAAATGTATACAGGGTGTTTCGAAAAATGTGGTCATTGATTAATCACGATCCTGCTTAAAGCGCTTGACGTAAAAAGCTGATTTTTGGAAAACAAATTGACTTTAGGATGTAGAGGTTCGATAAGAAGGAATTTCTCGAAACTCATATTCTAAGGGGGTGAAACTATCCCTCAAATATTAAAATATTTTTGATTTAAAAACCGGTGAGTTTTTCGGAAAACTCTTAAATACGTATATTTTATTTTGTTGTTTTACATATTTTAAGATTTTTTATAAATTTATACAGGGTGTTTCATAAAATATAACCATTGAGTAATCACGGTTCTGCTTAAACTGCTTGACATTTAAAGCTGATTTTTGGCAAACGGATTGACTGTGGGGTGTAGAGGTTCGATAAGGAGGGGTTAGCATAATTTATTTGGTTTTTTACATATTTTGAAATTTTTTAAAAAATCTTACAGGGTGTTAACAAGTTTTCTTGTTCCAAAAAGTTGGGTAATATCTTAACCACGATTCTGCTTAAACTGCTTGACGTAAAAAGCTTATTTTTGGCAAACGGATTTTTCGAAAGTCAAATTCCAACGAGATGAAACTACCCCTCAAATATTACCAAGTTATATAATAATATCGCCATATTGTTTTTTCTCATGCTGACATAAATGTGAGACAATTTAATCCAATTTGTATGTTAATGGAAATTCTTGCTTTGCTTTATCATCACCATTGCAAATGATTAATTCGACGCGAACGAAGTCGCTGGTACACGCTAGTACAATATATAACACTCTAATTAAAAGTAATTTGTTATACGGTTCAGAAACTTGGAGAATGCAGAAAAACATAGAATAATAATAGATGCAACCGAAATGGATGAACTAAGAAGATCCGTCAGAGTATCCACAACCGAGAGAGCGAGAAATGAAAATATCCAGGAACAAATGGGAATTCAGGACACGGTCAGATCACTGGCTATACAGTCAGGGTGGCGATTGCCAACCGAGACCTATATTTAAAATCGTTCATTATTAGATTTTCTTAAATAGAAATAAAAAAGAAAAAAGTGACGGTAACATTCTGAAGTTATCCCGAAAACTTTTCGTGGATTAACAATATTTATATTTGCATTGCATTACAGGTAGTTCCCAGATTTCAAACACTAACAACAAATCAATAGGGAAAAATTGTCCAAAACATAAACCGAAAATATACGCAAAAAATCCACCCGGGTCCCTATGGACCAGTCCGACCCTGGACACAATTATGACTGACATCGAAAGAAGGCAACTTGTCTGGTACGGCCATGTAAAACGTATGAATATCAACAGATTACCCAAAAAAAAACAATGAACTGGATACCAAATCACTGGAAAGAAAAGAGGTTGCCCAAAAGGAACTTGGTACGAAGGAGTTTCTCAAGCCATGAGTATGAGAAATTTAGACGATGGCCAGTGGGAGGATAGAAAACAATGGGGTCACAACATCCCGCACTTTCTAAACCGATTAAATATATATGTTACGGTTAAAGTCCGATGTCCTGTTAATATCGGTTAATGCAGTGGTTTTCAACCTTTTTGAACCTGCGCCCCCCCCTTTAATTTAAAAAAAAATTGTGCCGCCCCCTTAATTTTTCTAATAATCTAATTTAATAAATACTCAACTAATATTATAATTTATTTAATGGGCTACAAAATAATATACAATATTATGTAAAAATATACATAAAAAAATAATTATTTATTATAAGAAACAATAATTTTTTATGGACTTTTTTGGTTTGTATTCGAAGATGATATTTTTGAAACAGCTGCATGCCCCCCTTGAAACAGCCTCGCGCCTCACTAGGGGGAGGTGCCCCACAGGAAACCACTGGGTTAATGTTTGGGTTTGGTTTTGTTTTTGGTTGTTTTGTGTTATTCTCGAGATTAACCGGGTAATGTCGATATTAACCGAATATCGGACCTTAACCGTAACATATATAATATCTAAAAGTTCCGGTACGGTAGCGTTCAAGATTTTCAAGCCCCAAATTGCAAAATTTTTCCTGTAGCTCAGAAACGAAGAGGGCAATGCAAATTTTGTTTACAGCATCTTCCGTTTGACAAAAAGTGGAACATGTTTGTATAGAATATAGAAACCGCACCGTTCTATCTTCTCTAATAGCGGAGTTACCGCATGATTTCAACCAAAATGGAACACCCTGTACACCCAACTTTAGTTAATGTTCCGTCACATTATAACCGAATTTATAATGACAATTCTCTTTTCAGTTTAATTTGACACCTAGTCAAGTGGGTCTTATGTTCCTGTTCCTGACTGCCTCGTATGGCATTTTTAGTCCAATAATTGGCTGGTTGACTGACAAGCTAAACAATTACTCTTGGTTAATGACGTCGAGCCTCCTTTGCAGTTCAGTGGTTCTGTTATTTTTGGGTCCCTCGCCGATATTCAGCCAAATAAAAGAGTAAGTTCAGTTAAAAATTATTAGTCAAGTTTCAAAATTATTTTTCATAGATCTTTTGATTTTAACATTGACGGAAATTATAAAAATAACATTGCAGAACGTCATTAAAAATAATTTATAATATAAATATCGAAAATAATGTCTATACATATGTTTGTGCCGGGTTCATTTCTTGAAAAGAATTCTGTTTTTTGCAAATGTAGGGATTCTTGAAAAAAAAATCTGTTTTTTTAAGGAAAATCTATAAAATAAATGTAAACACCACTGCGTTGATCCAACGGAGACCAATTTTTCAGTGGTATTTCAGTAAAACAAAGTTGCCTAACCGACAGAAAATGCTTACCATTTCAGGAGATATACCTCCTCCCGTCGCGCGTCGTATCGTGAAAAAGCAAAAAAATACAAAGAACAGAATAAAATTATTTAAAATATGCAAATACAACTATTCAAGTATAGTGTTTCCGAAGTCAATTGGAAGTACTAAGACTTTTAATTCTTTTGTCTGAAAAGGCGCCGACAAAGATAGTGCCGAAATTAAAAGTCCCAATCTATTTCAACTGACTTCAGATAAACTATACACTTTATTTTGTAGATCACATCTTTTGTTTCTTGTTCAGTGTTCATTTTAACTTATACAAGGCTTATACTAAGCCAGTAAACACTGAACAACAAACAAAAAATGTGACAACTTTTAAATACCGTATGCCCAAAAATAAGGCGTCTAGTTTTCGAAAATGCCAATCTTTATTTTCAAGCTTTATGCGACACCGTCACCGCGAATGGCTTAATTTTAAAACCACCACTTTTGACAAAAATACAATATTTAATAAAAATTGATTGATTTTAAGTTTATGCTCTTACAAAAGTCGCTTAAAAATAATATGTTTTTCCTTTTTAGTTCAATATGGTTAAACATAGTGGTTTTGATAGCATTAGGAATATTAATTGCAATGTCCCTTATGCCAACCTATCAGTATATACTGGATAGTTCTATGTAAGTACGTATATTAAGAAAAAATATACAGTATGATTGAAAAAAAAACGGCATCAAGTTGTCTTGGAACCTGTAAATGACGATCGATGTACATCGCACTGTAATTTTTTATGTGAAATGAAAGCGTCCTCATTTCCAAGCCCACTCTCACGCCATTTTTTTCCGACACTACTGTATTTAATTTTTATATTTATGTTTTGCTAAATTGCATAAAATTTTGTAGCTTAACTATCATCTATTTGTAAAAGGAATTGATTAGTGCCACCTCATTCTGCTTTCCACTTATCGTGGAAGTAATGTTTTTTGAAACTAGAAACTATTTTTTAATCAGTTGAGCTGTCTGATTTTTTTCCCAGCTTTGTTCCCGCCAGGCTTCTGCATATCATAAGAGCCTTTTGTGCAGGGTTGCCACCCGTCCCGATTTTGATCCAAAAGTCCCGCGTCCCCATGCAAAGCCCTAATGTCCCGATTTTTATATGTTTAATAACCACGTTTTTATTAGACAATAAAATTGTAAAATTTATTATTAAAAATACAAGTTTATTAATTTATTGAATCCAATTAAAAACAGTTCCTTTCCAGAAATTAATTAAAAAATAAAATAAGTAGATATTGATACTCTGTTTAATGAATATTCGATAATAAAAACTTGCGTAAAGGAAATTTGCCAAAAAGGATATAAAAATTATAGATAATAAAATAAAGTATTTTTAAAACTACAGTAAATTATATGCCTTCATTGTTTAAGGTTGTTATTTATGCATTTTCACGTTTAATTTTGAAGTAGACAGACGCTAGAAATAGATATTCAGTTAAGCTCATTAGAACGGAACTTATCTCATTTAATTTTAAGATATCGCATATAAGATTTTGGATTTAACGGAAAAATGACAAGGCTCTTATTATTATAGCAACAAAACAAATAAAAAATATTCATTACAGTTACAGGGATCTTTGGTGTTACAACAGCAAAATGTATCACTAATTCACGGCAATATACCAAACCCTTTTGCTTTTAACACTGGACGCTAGTTTCGCTAATCATAAATTTGAAGCTAACCATCAGTTTTCATCATCTGCTGATGAAATCTGCTTTTAAAAAAATTAAGTTGGCCTCTGTATCCCACAAATTATCAGCTAATTTGAAAATCTAAAAATACTATCAGATAGCCCTAATAAAGTGGCTATGAGAATGTGCAATTAGTTTTTTGATTTTCTTTAAAGTAACGACAGGAAAAAATCAAATTTATTTTCAAAAAAATCCGTTTCTTTCCAAAAAACTCAGCAATTCTTGAAATTTTTAAAACTTTTTTGATGGCATCTTGGTGAACATCACAAAGCGGAACTTTGCCCCAATTTAACCATGTTCGTATCTATTACGGTTACCGAGATAGCAATGTTCGTACGTCGAATTTGTAGCACCCTGTATACATGCTGACATTAAACCGTTATATGATTTATGTAAAAAATACCCTTTATATAATTTTGTCCAATATGGTTTTCCACTACTTTCTTCATTGTTTTTAGTATAAACGATGTGAGATTAATAGGCCTAAATGATTTAAGGTTGGCCCAGTCAGTTTTGACTATTTTGGGTATGAAGATACCTTTCGCTCTTCTCCAGATGGTTTGTATATATTCCATCGCTAAGCTGCTTCTTGTAATGTTTAATAGACGGTAAGTAGCTATTTCCTTGCCATTCTTTAGAAGGGCAGGAAAAATCCCAGCTACTCCAGCTGCTTTATAAGAATAGCCCATTTCGGTTTTTTAGGAATGGTATATTTTAAATCCCAGGAACACATTGAAAATGTATTTTTCGAAAAAAAATTGAACATTTTTTGAACAAAAAATATGATTGGGGCATCTTTTAACTTATATTTTAAAGAAATTAATATTAAAAATTAATTATATTTATTGTTATTTCGTAGGTTTTTTATTTGTAGTGATATTTTTAACGTAATGATAAAGATTAGGTATATACTATATTTTACATAAAAGTTACGACAGTAATGCGACTACGAACTATACCCGATTTTGGCACATTTCCCAATTCTATACCACGTTAGAGACATCTTCATTGCTGAACTAAGCTTGAGGGCGGGGCTCAGATACTCTATGCTCTCTCATGGTATATTATGGAAATACGCAGACGGGTTTTGCAACTTGACGGCTCAAATATAAAAATAGTGTTTTACTCCTTCTATAGTTTTTCTGATTTTTTTCTAAACTGTTTTCTACTTTTAGGGAAAATGGATTCCACGAATGTCTAGGAACCCACAGCGTCATTGCCGGTTTATGGTCATCTGTATATTCCTTGGGGGAAGTTGTGGGACCAGTGTTAGGCGGTGTATTGATGCAACATTTTGGATTCCCTACACTTTCGACGACGTTTGCTATTATCAATTTTGTTGCCGGTGTCATAACGTTGATTTATTTTCGAAGTAAACGGTCAAAGTCAATTGAAAAAGTACCTAATAAAAAGGGAGAAGATAACGTTGTATTTTATCTTGAAGCTACAAGTACTCCGGTAGTGGAGGATATTAGCATTTGTAGTAGATTATAAGACGGATATTAATGTCAGTTTATAAGACTTTTAGTATTATTTTTTAACATTCGACTATTTATATTTTTTATCGTTGTTTTTTAAGTATTATATTTTAAAAAATTGTAAATAATTGGTCTTGATATCTATTTACATCACACTTTTTTTCATTTTGCGGTATCTCTGTAATGATGTGTTACTTGTGTTCTTAAACCATACCTACCTATTTGTAAGTAGATATATGTATTATGTACTTTTTAATAAGCACAATATAAAATAATATAGACTTTTTTCATATTTTGTGTTGTGTGTTTTATTTAATAAAATAACTTTATACAAGGTGAGTCTTAAATACAAGTACAATCAAGTACAACCATTATCAGGGGTGGTATTTTTCGACCCCACATCTATGAAAAAGAAAGAGGTTGAAAATCGTGAATTTTCTTTTAAATTTTCCTGTATATTTTAGAAAACTTTTTAGAACTGCCTGTTCACCGTAAATTTTCCCACATTATAATTTTTTAATCTCTGATTACTGCATTAAAAAGGATGTAGAATGTTTGGTAAAAGGATTAATTACCGCAATATTACAGATCTATTGTGTGTCTCTCTTTCTTGAGTTATAACGAGTTATAACTCATCATACAGTTTCAGGGCTTTTACAAAAGCCAGTATCTGAGACGGCTTCACAGAGGGTAGTTCTCCATTTCCGATATCAGTCGTACCAAATGTTTATGGCACGAATAGTTGTCGTCTCAGGGCACTCAGTGATGAGCCGTTCTGGTGTGTCCCCATTTTCGCCACAGAATCTACGTTCGCCGTTGTTTTTTAGCTTCAATCTACTGAGGTGTTCGTTGAGGAGATAGTGTCCTGTTAAAAACCCCGTGATTGTTCTTAATTAAATCAAGGAAAATCTTTGATTTTTTTCGGTCGTAAGTTCTGAGAAATTTCTTAGAGTGTCTTAGACCCTTGGATGATTCCAATTCCAGGTTACGGATGGAGCCTTCCAGGATTTTGAGTTTCGATTTAAGTTTTCACTTGGAAAGCAGAACGGTTCTGGTTCAGTTAGTGGAGTGTATAAACTTCTCACCACTCATCACTTGTTTCGATGTTTCCGATCTTGATTTTGTTAAGACGCTTCTTAGAGTTGAAAATAGTTTGTAGAGTAAATATATTTCGATAGTTTCAGAGATATTAATAAATAAACGAAAAATATATATATTTTTCAACCTTCACTAAAAAATTATTATAAATGCAAGAACTGTCCTTATTTCGAAGCTTATAACGTTTTTGGTCAAGTTTTATAGCTGTATTACAACCAAATGTCATAGTTATATGTATATTATATATATTATATATATTTTTTTTAAATGGGACACCATGTATATTACAAGTGTATTAGAAAGCACAGTTTTTTTCTCATAAAAATATATTACATTTCTCAAAAAGAGAGGGTATGTATTTCTGAAGTTCGCAAAAATTGTGCTTTCTAATCCAAGATGTATTTTAAAAATTATAGTTTATAGTTTATACCAATAACTGTGATATTTGAAAGCGTTTAAATTAAAAATAGAGAAGAATAAAAAACTTAAAAACAATTGTTACAAAGTACAATTCTTTGAGAAACCTCAAAACCAGCCTTGTAATAATATTTTTGATTTTGAAAGCATCATTTTACGAAGAATGACTTTTATTTGTGGTAGGACTAAAATCACTTTTATTTGTGGTAGACCAAAAGAAAAAACGCTCTTTGGGGCCAAGTTTAAATTTAAACAATGATAAAACGCTACGGATAAGAGTCGTCTAATAAAGCAAGGCCCTGGAGGCTTTATCAAACATTCAAGCTATTTAAAACCAGAAATAAAATTTAGGGAAAAAATGCAGGAACTGTCGGACTTTAGATGGTCTATACTTCCTTTGCTATAAATATCGTAATCTTAAATCATACAGGATGTTAAAAATTCTACGCCAAACTTTCTAAAATATGAAATAATTTTTCTTTTTTTTTTCAAATGGAACAACCTGTATATTGTTTTTTTATTAGATGTAGAATTAAAAAATAAACATTTTTTTGAATTTAAAATATATCACAATTTTTAATGGTTTCGCAGATACACGCAGCATTATTTCATATGGGGCTCTCTCAACGGTAAAATACGAGAGAAAAATCATTGGGTGGCTTTGATAAAAATTTACTGAGGGAAATGCCATAAAACAGTGTAACAAATATAAAACCGCGAACTGTTAAAAATTTTGAAATACTCTAAATACAAAAAATGGCGAGTATATAAACGCTCAACTTGTAGATTGTACTTTAGTTTATAATCATCTGCTGATGATGCTAACATGGTTAGCGAAACGCGCGTCCAGTGTAAAAGTAAAAGTGTTTTGGTGTATTGTGGTGATTTAGTGTTTTTTATTTTGCTGTGTAACACCAAAGGTTCCAACCCTCAACTGTAATGATTTATGATTACCATATTTATAGCAAAGTAAGTAGAGACCATCTAAAGTAAATATCTAATATAGTTTTGATTTCAGGACAGTTCTTGTATTTATAATAATTTTTTTAAGAAAGGTTGAAAAACATATTTTTTTTATTTTTACTTTAGAGTCTTAGGACCCGATCAAGTTGTCTGTAAAAGTCTTCAGTCTCGTCCTCTGCTTTTTCTGCTGTTGGAGCATAGACCTGGATGATATTGATATTAATAGGCCTGCCCAGTAACTGAATTAGAATTACCCTTTCTGAGAGAGGAATAAAGTTCTTTTGTAAATTCTCATCCATTAAAATACTAACCCCCCGCTGATGATTTTGATCAATACTGTCATTTCCGGAATAGTAAAAGACTTTACCTTTCGATTTAACAATTCCAGTGCCGGGCCAATAGACTTCACGGACTTCAAGGATATTTACCTCCATCCTGTTCATCTCCTGTATTAAATTGTCAAATTTTCCAGCTGCAAACAATGTTTTTACATTCCATGTCGCAATTTCTGTTATCTTATTTAGTTGGAACCAGGGGATTCTTCGCACCTCTTGACCACTTAAGGTCTGCCCAGGACTAGAGACTTCCAACATACTTAATAAGAAATACTAGGATGAATATCCTGAGGATATCTATGAAGATCTTTAATGCGGTGGTTTCCCATTGCCTTCCGCATTTCCCTGCCGTTGCCCACCTGCTGGTTCTTTCGCCTTTAGGGATGATTTCCCATTCCGAGGACAAGGTTGTGCCCTCACTCTTGTTAGTTCTTCCACTTGGAGCTGTTGACTTACAAGAGGCAACTGCTTATACTGGCAGTCATTCGGTTGACAGAGCCTCGTCAGTTTTCTAGCAAGGTGCACCACGTGCAGGTGAGGTTGTCGGTTAGGTTAACATAGGTACAGTACGTCTGCTGGATCTGTGTCTATGAAAGGAATGCGGACAAAAAAACATTTAAATAAACAGCAATATATTTTATACGTCGACTTGACGAGTACGTCACCGCAAATCGCTCCGCCCACTCATTTTATTGGTTACTTGCAAATTTGTCGAATTTTTATTGATGGGACGCGTCGTTTAATTTTTTACGAAAAACATCGAGAAAATATCGTTTCCCCTCTCACGGATACCCCGTAGCTATAGAACGGACAGACTGTGGGACAGACGTACTGTATATGTTATGACCCCTTACACCCCAATGGGATACCATGTACCAGGAATTAACTCACCACGAAGGTATTTATAGATATGATCTACTAGATTTCTTTTTCGTTTAAATTAAAAGGCAATTTAATAACATTTAATATTTAATGAAACATATTTTTTGAACCTCAAATAATTTAATTATTTTAAAGTAACTATAACTCTCTAAATTTAAATCAAAAAGGTTAAGAACCGAAAATAAATCATGTTTGCAGCTGTTTGCAAATTTGGTTCAGATATTTTTAATTACAAATACTGTTCATATAGATGTAGTTATTATCAGTCTCACGCTGACTAAAATGAATAAAAAATTATTATAATCGCTACTATAGCTTTGATATGTCGAGACTAGAGATGTTAATTAATATCGAAATCGATATATTTTATTCAAACGTATCGATTTTTTTTATCAGATAATAAATATCGGGAGCTATTTTTTAAAATTGCTTTAGTCTGAGATTTTTACAAATTGGCAATATGTGACAATTGATAATTCAAAATTCTATTTTTTATTGTTATCAAATATGAACCGTTCTAGAACTCTACAGCGCATGCGTAGATGAAAAACTTGCCGCACATTTCCTTCTGTGCATACGTGTCACAGGTCTACGACGACTGTTAAGAATTGATGATAAGAAAAACCCGAACCGGGATCTAAAAACTAAAGCATCAAAAATTTCTCTGTGGACAAACTTTATTAGAATTTTGCTCTAAATTTTCTGTTTCTATTTTCCTATTTATCACATGAATTGTAGAAATATACATGGTGTCCCAGAAAAAAGTAAAAGTATTTTAACTAGTATTATATTTCGATCCCAGAAACACGCCCATAAGGTTTTTTTGCAAAAAAAAAAAGAAAATTTTATATTTCTCTTGACATTTTTCGGAAAATATTGAAAATCTTTTGATGCTGCTTGTTCAGTTTCGGGAAATTTGTTAATATTGCTTCGAGAAAATGCAATGTTGCCACCTCCTACATTATCCTCATTCTGTATGTTTATAAGTTAAAGTTCACATTTTTAAATTTCTACAAAAAATATTTAAATTAATTTTATTCACTGTAGATTTTTTAATCATTGTAGATTACTATTATATACAGGGTGGTCCGAACTGTATCCCGGAAACAGAAAAAAATATGTAAAAAAGTTCTTATAAATGTATGTCCAAAAATACTTAGTTTCGGAGATACAGGGTGTAGAAGTTTCATTTATATTTCAATTTTTTCCAAATAATTCCTAAAGTAACGTCAATATTTGGATGAAAATTGGTGTTTGGGCGTTTTTTGACATGAGAAATTTGATTTTGATGACTGATGACAATATGACTCCTACTAGTAGAGGGCGCCACCTACATATTTTTTAACTGGTTTGAAGAGTAATAACTTTTCATCCGTGCCTGTATAAAACTACTGAGTAAAAAAATATACATTTACGACGTTTTTTACGTGAAGAAGGTCTCTTGGTAAAAATCGATATACGAGTAATGGTTTTCGAGGTATTTGGAATCGAAATTATCAATACCTGTCATCATTGACATAAATTAAACATGTTGACTAAATAGTTACTAGACTGAAATCATACATTTGAAAAGTTTTTGTGCCAAAAGTTCAACAGGAACTGTTTTATCATTATTTTTTGCAGAAAAATTTATGATTAATTTAAAAAAAATAAAAATTTCCAAAATTTATTATTTCAGTGAAATAACTATCTACTTAACGTGTTTATTTTTCGTTAATAATGACATGTATTGTCTATTTCCATTCTAAATATCTTAAGAACGGTTGCTCGTAGCGGTTTTTACAAAGAGATATTTTTTTATGTAAAAAGTCACAGAGATGTATATTTTTTCGCTCGTTAGTGTTATACAGGTACGAACAAAAAGTTATTACGCTTCAAAATAGTTAAAACACATGTAGGTGGCGCCCTCTACTAGTAGGAGTCATATTGACACCAAAATAAAATTTCTCGTATCAAAAAACTCCCAGACACCAATTTTCATCCAAATATTGACGTTACTTCAAAAATTATTTAGAAAAAATCGAAATAAAAATGAAATTTCTACACCCTGTATACTTTATTCTCTGAAAGTAAGCATTTAAGGACATATATTTATACGAACTTTTTTACTTATTTTTATCTGCAGAATATGCTGTCGAAGTTTCCGGAATACAGTTTGGACCACCCTGTATAGCCCAACGTCTACTAAATTTTAAATACCTTTTTTAATGTTAATATACCTTTAGTAAACTGAAATAATGAAACTAAATATTGAACAATTATAGCAGCTTTTCAACAGTTCAGAATCAGCGCCCTCTATTAGATATGTAATGTTATTTGAGATTTTACTCAAAACAGTAAGAGCGCTTGCACACACACCGGCAAAATCGGTGCCGTAGTCGGTTTTTAGTCCGGAGTCAATTTATTTTAAAAAGGGCAAAGAGAAAATATGTTTCTTTTTTAGCCAAATCTACCATCCTTTAAAATGCGCTTATTTCTGGGACACCCTGTAATATGTGCTAAGTGCTAGTTGATGCGAACCAAGGGCGAACTACATTGTTCGCGATTTAATTTTCGACCCTAACACATCGATATTTTTCTTATAATGACCATCTCTAGTTAAATATTTTTGTAGGAACTCACTCACAATAATAATGTATTGTTGGTATTGTTAAAAATAACCTTATTTATTTGTGATATATACAAAGAAATTTAATTGGTTGTTCCGAAAGATACGTGAAATATTAAACAACACATTTTTCAGTGATTGTGAATAATTAAAATTGTATTTTTACTAGAAGTAATAAGCCCGCTCAGAGGTAAGTAAAAATAAATTAAATTCATTATTTTCATATATTTATATCATTCTGGTTCGCAATTCTAATCAGAAACAAGTAATCTAGATTGGATCCTAGTTGTACAAGAGAAAATTACTAAAAATCTATCACAAATCACCCATTTAACATATCCCGGGTGCATCTCAAAAGTGGCCCACCCCTATAACTTTTTTATTTTTTCGAGATTTGGTATTGTAGTATATGATATAAATTAGGATTGATTGACGTATTCAATTGTTTTTAGTCAATTCCTGTTTCAACGGAAATGACTACAACTTTTGATTTTTAAAGGACATCCTCGGTATATTTTTACTTTATTCGATAGAAAATGACATTCTGAATAGAATGACATATCATATGCCTACTTTTGACATTTTTCGGTTAAAAAAATTGTATTTTAAATTTCAATCTAGAGTGTCATATGGCTGTGTTAAAAACACTAATTTTTAATCAAGGAGCCTTGGGAAAATAAATTTGATGATCTAATATTTTTCGTGTCTTCTCCTGGCCGATTATTTTTTAAAGTTTGATGCCTTCTAGCGGACAAACGAAACACTTTTAAATAGAGGTAAATTGTGTCCAATGAACTTATTTTGATTCCAAAAATACGTAGTAGTTCTATGTCCATGGAATATTGGGACACACTGTATAACTTATATATGTACAGGGTGTTCCACTAAGAACAGCTCTCGACTTTATCTCGGAAAGTATTAGTCGTGGAGCTTGCGGAAAAAAATATTTATTTTTTTTTCTAAAGAGATTATAATTTATTTTTTCTAAAGAGAGCATGAGAAATTGCTGGAAATTATTTTAAGTTTGTAGAGCGGCCGCTAGAGGGCGCAACTGCTATTAAAGATAAGAAAAAGGAGTTTTTACACAATTTTGCCTAGATAACGGATTCTATAAATAATAGATTCATAATCTTCAGAAAATTTTGCATATTTTTTGTTAGAACCATTTTTCCCTTAGATTTTTCCCTATCTGCCAAAATAAAGTGGTGGGGGATGGTTAGATCTGTTTTTATTTAAACATTAATAACGCCGGACTGGATAAACGTAATCTAACAAACGGAGGCTCGTTTAAAAGAGCGTTTCTTACTCTATATTATAGCGTACAAACAATAATAATAAGCTGTTGAATGTAGACGCTAGGGGCGCTGTCTTACAATTTAACAAAAATTGCCCGTTTTTTCAAAAAAATTAAATGCGATAGTATATATAATTTTAGCTGATAGTAAAGAGTAATAAAAGTTTAAAAAGTCAGCGAAAACCGCATCTTGATATCCTCTTTCAAACCGAAGATATTAGCAAAATTATAATAAATACGAAAAAATAAGCCCACAACCTTATTTTTTTAACACGGTTACAGTAGCCATCTTGATTATGACCATTCTAATAAAAAATAATATAGAAACTATTAGTTTGTTCTAAAATATACCAGAATACGATAATACCAGATGTATTAATATCTAATAATTAAGATATCAATGACAGTGAATAAGAAACGACGTCTTAGTGAAGTCATGGTAGGCTTTGGAAAAAAGATGCTTTTGACGTAATAGTATAAACGTCAAAGAGTTATTAAATCAACATTTTGATAGTCTTAGCAGCGTTTTTTCTCTTTTTAAGAATGGTATTCTGGTATATTGTCGATTTTTTGAATGAAATAATCTTTTCTATCTTATTTTTGATTAGAATGGTCATAATCAAGTGGGCTAGGGATACCGTGTTAGAAAAATAAGGTAGTTTAAGGGCTTATTTTTTCCTATTTATTATAATTTTACTAATAACTTTGGTTTGAAAAAAGATATCAAGATGCGGTTTTCGCGCCTAGTTTTCGCGCCCCCTAGCGTCTACGCTCAAAAGCTTATTTTTATTATGGTATAATATAGAGTAAGAAATGCTCTTTTAAACGAGCCCCCACTTATTGGATTCCGGTCAACCAGTCCGGAGTTATTAACATTTAAATATAAACACATCTAACCTTCCCCCACCACTTTATTTTGGCAGATAGGGAAAAATGGTTCTAACAAAAAATATGTAAAATTTACTGAAGATTATGAATCTATTATTTATAGTATTCGTTATCTAAGCAAAATTGTGTAAAAACTCCTTTTTCTTATTTTTAATAGCAGTTGCACTCTCTAGCGGCCGCTCTACAAACTTGAAAATAATTTCCAGCAATTTCTCATGCTCTCTTTAGTCATAAATATGTTTTTCCGCAAACTCTACTACTAATACTTTCCGAGATACAACTGAGAGCTATTCTTAGTGGGACACCCGGTACATTATATCCTAGTTCTAAATACCTACTCTATCTCTACATAAGATGAATAGGCTTTCAAAATAATCATAATGCGACTGAACAACTTACCGTAGATACTAATAATTATGTTTATTATCTAATAAACATTTCAGAAGAAAATTTTCAGACGGTTATGAACTTATACCTTGTAAATAAAATAGTAAACATAAATACTAAGATAAAGTAAAGTTGTTCTTTCCACATAATCTTATTTAATTTCTATGAGAAATTTTACTGGTCTGATAAAAAGTAAGAGATAACTGTGATTGTTCGTATTTATACATCAGTGTAATATCTCAGTTATTATAGTACGATTAGTGTAAACAGTCGTTCTAAATAGTGTGTAGTTGTTTTATTAATTCTATCTTCAGCATCAGTGAATTTATCTCCCATTTATGAATAAAAATGTAAGAAAATAAATTCCGAATTTTATAAAATTACTTTTGTAAAATCTATAGATAACATTTAAAAAGTATTAGCTTGCATGCCAGTAAATTAAAATTAAATATGTTAGAAATATCTAGTGAATTTATATCATTTTATTAGTGAGTGGTATTATGGAATATTTCACCTAATTTAAGAGTAAAGCAAATACTTTACAAATTTATCTATATAAAAACTGCAGAAAACAGAAAATATTTTGTAATTATTATTCCATGTCTAACTTTTATTTGCAACATGTTAAGAACAACGTATTTCAATGTTTGTTTGGTTTTTTATAGTTTAAAATCTTATTGTGTTATTATAATACAGTATGATCGATAAAAAACGGCGTCAGCGATGGCTATGGAATGAAGATCGCTGTCATTTTATATGGGAAATGTCATCGATCGTTATTACCCAACCAACGCCATTTTTTTTTCTACCTGTATTACAATATAAAATAATTTAGTTTGAATGTGGTAGACAATGATTCAGTATTGAAACTAAAAGAATTTCGGACTTCCATTGTCTTTATTTATTTTACTTACACAACGTTTCTGTCAGAAGTATCACTGACCGTTATCAAGTATGAATTAAAATAAATCCTAAAACTACTGAGCTTATAGGTATACTAGAGCCCAGCATTCACCCGTGAATTAGTTTGGTGCAGTCAAGCATGAGGTTCTCCACTAACAATACCTGCATTGAAGTGTTTTATGAGTGGTTGCCATGTTGTTGAAATTTCTACACTTGGATTGCTAACGATTTTATTATTATTAGACCTTTTTAAATTTGCGTTTTTTTCCAATGGGGCTTTTTGTGGACAACCCAGGCTTTCGACCATTTTATGTTATGGTACTTGGATCACACATGATCTGCAATGCCCGACTACATTGTTCACCTCTGCGTATGTTTTTTTATGTCTGTCAAGTCGTACATGTAGAGAACGTTTTCTCTGCAAAATCCCTAGACAATATTGACACATTGGCTCATTAGACCCTAGACAAGTCTGATTCATTGCCCAATATCGAAGGTCCCAGGCAAATCCGGAGACGATTACTGGCAGCGGTAGTTACCTCCGTCCTGCTCTACGGGGCACCGGTGTGGTCAGAATCGCTGGAACTAACAACATATCGCAGGAGAATGACATCACTCCACCGACTCTCAGCGATCAGAGTAGCGTCAGCATACTGGACGGTATCACAGGATGCAGTGCACAGATGCAGTGAGTGTAGTGGCATCATGCCTGCCTATCGTTATCTTTGCGGGAGAACGTCAGCGACAACACCGCAACAAGAAAGCCGAGCAGCGACAGGTCTTCTGTGAAGAAGATTGGTTAGGCCTGAAAGTCTTCGACTCTGGCAAGTGAGATGGGACAGCTCGACGAAAGGTCGGTGGACACATCGACTAATCCCGGATGCCCGGATGTCACCAAAGGGGTCACCCGTGTGCACGGGGAGGTTGGATTCTACATAGCCCAGCTCTTGACTGGGCATGGATGCTTTCGAGAATACTTGCACAGATTCAAGAGAAGTGACTCCCCGAACTGTCACCATTGCTGCGTGGTGACCGAAGATGCGGAGCACGTGTTCTTCCGATGCTCTCTATACGAGCGGACAAGGACGGAAGTCGAGAGAAATCTAGGCTTGTCCATCAGCCAAGAGACAAAACGTCATCTACATGTACGACTTGACGAACCTAAAAAACATACGCAAAGAGTCATGAAGTCGAGCATTGCAGATGATTTTGATGATTTTATTTTAGGTCTATGATAAAGACAATGGAAGTCCAAAATTCTTTTAGTTTCAATAAAATAATTTATTTAACAAACTAATGACCCAAGATCTTTGTCAAATTTATTTGACAAGAATATGTTTTTCAACGATTTAAATTTTAATTCGGATTATATAGGGTGGTCCACTTTTTATTAGGATTTTTATCTCATATAACGAATTATCCATTTTACGAAGAAAGTTTCATATCAACATAGTGTCAAAATGGTTTGTTTTAAAAATGGGATTGTTAAATTTAAAAAAAATGGTCCATTATTTTTGCAGTAGATACATATCTCTGAATATATTTAAACTAGATTTGGTAAGAAGAATTGTATTATGGCAACTGGCAACCATATTCGATGCTGAAGGGGTAGAGGCAATATTTAAGTAAAGTACTCCATTTAAATTATATTTGCACTGAAATCTATTGTTTGCGATAATTTTATTTTGTAAAGTCTGTCCAACGAGTCAGGGCAGATCTCGACAGACGACATTCAAAAAATGACAGAAAATACAATGTGCCTGTCAATTAAAATGACAGACACAACTGTCAGTGTCATGGATCTTCTCGTTGACAACATTCTGTCTTATTTTAAAATATTTTTACATACATATTTTCCTCCTGCGTGTTTGTAAATGATTTTGTAAGTGATAGCATTTACTACAGATCTACTTTCTTTTTTGTAAAGAAATCTGCATCTTTAAGTAATTAAATTGGAGTTTTTGTTGTGTATTGTATAAATTAGTATCAAAGTTATTATACATGCTATATTAGATTTTTGCAAATTGTAAGTTTGGGGTTCGTTGAAGTACTATTAGAGCTACAATTTAAAAATATTTTTACAAGATACAGAGTATCCCAAATAAATAAAAAATATCAAAGTTGTATTTTTTTTAAATGGAACACCCTGTATGTTATTACATTTTTTGTTTCTACGATTAAAATAAAGGTAAATTTAATTAAGATTTATTACACCTTACCGTTTTTCCAATATTTTCAATTTTGTGAAATTGCAGTAAAACATTAAAGGCTTCATTTTCCCAAGGGTATCAAAGTTTTTAATACTAAATATTTACTGAAGTTTATTTATTGATCAGTTATTGTGTTGCAATGATAAAAAGAATACTCCCACATACAGAGTGTCTAAAAATTTATTTTAAATAATTTCTAGCTTTAAACGGCAATAACTTGTTTAATTTAAATGAAACACTCTGTATATTTTAGGAGAATCAGATGCACAATTTAATTGTCTATCAAATTGTATTATACCATTTTTTACCTATATCCTTTCAATTTTTCGTAGAGAATGAATTTTCTTATAATTTAGACCTCATTTATCAATATACCCATGGAATATTGGCATTTTAGATTGTTTATAAAGCAACAAATGTGGTGCTAAAAACGATGATATTACTGTCCCATTTGTATACAAAAAGAAAACTATTTAAATTTTTATAAAAGAGTATACTTCATTAATTAAATACACCACCATTATTTCCGCCCTAATATTAATTAATTTGATACTTAATTGTGTTAGTTAATAAATTATTCTAAACAAGTGTGGATTTGAATCAAAAATCAATATAATAATAAGTAACAACTGAGACGTTCATTTTTATAATGAACGTCTCAGTGTTACAAATAAGCATTAGTCAAAAAACGAAATAAAGTTTTTGAGGTGTTACTTTTTACCACACTGTCTAATACACATACAAAATTGTTGTTTAGTATTTGGAGCAATTATTATTCATCTACGCCAACAGTCAATTAATGTAGTTTGAATACTGGAATTATATTAACTGGTCCTCTTTAACAAATATTTAAACAGTTATTTTTTAGTTTTAGTTTATTTTTTAATGAAATAAACGAACTATATGACAATATTAGTATCTGTACTCTTTAAAAATTTGTTACATCTTTAAAAATAATCTAAAATGTCAATATTCCATGGGTATATTGATAAATGAGCTTTAAATTATAAGAAAACGCATTTTCGAAGAGATAGGTAAAAAATGATATAATACAATTTAATAGGCAATTAAATTGTGCATCTGATTCTCATAAAATATACAGGTTGTTCCATTTAAATTAAACAAGTTATTGCCGTTTAAAGCTAGTAATTATTTAAAATAAATTTTTAGACACTCTGTATAAGGTAGAATAATTTTTATTATTGCAACACAAAATTTAGTAAATAGAAATACTTCAGTGCAATATTTGGTTTTAAAAACTTAAAAACTTAAATACGCCTAGAGAAATGAAGCATTAAAATTTATACTCTATTCTGACAAAAACCTAAATATTTCAAAAACGGTAAGATTAAAATGCGGTAAACCTTAATCAAATTTACCTTTATTTTAATCGTAGAAACTAAAAATATAATAATATACAGGGTGTTCCATTTAAAAAAATACAACTTTGATATTTTTTATTTATTTGGGACACTCTGTATCTTGTTAAAATATTTTTAAATTGTAGCTCTAATAGTGCTTCAACGAACCCCAAACTTACAATTTGCAAAAATCTAATTGTCTAGCTACAATATACTCCGTATCTTATGTGGTGAACAACCCTGTAGACGTAATAACCAATTTGTATGATAATTTTCTCCGATCCCTATATATTTAAATAAAAAATCATATTGTTTTTATTTACATATTTCAGTTAATAGCACAATGGCAGCGAATGAACCTGTACCATATAAATCAAGTGATCTACCGTCAGAGGCTCCTGGTTCAAATTCTAGCAAGAGCAGTTTTGCCTTTTCATCCAATTCGGGTAATTTCAGACCTGGAATATACAGAAAATATCCTCGGAGTAAATCCTTATCGAACATCGCCCCTGATGATTACACCCCTGGAGAAATAAGAAGGATCAAAGAAAGACTGCTCAGGTAAGTTATTCTAAATAAAAAGTTTGTTAATATACTCCTTCTGTATTAGATTATTGTAGATTTTTCTACAAACGTATCTAAAAATTCACTTTTTTGTAGAACTACATCTCATCTGGAACCTTCAGCGATTAGGAAATTTACCAAATTCCAAAAAGTTACATTGGCAATGTTAGCTTTGGTCGATTTCTTTTGCTTTTGTTCCATGTCAATCATGGCACCCTTTTTCCCTAAAGAAGCAGCTGATAAAGGATTATCGGATACCACATCTGGAATAGTGTTTAGTTTTTATGCTTTAGTCATGTTTCTATCATCCCCAGTATTTGGAAAAATTGTAAGTATTAAACTAACAATCGATTAAATACAGCATTTTTCACACAAACCGTTAGGAGTATTTTAAGATTTAATGTGGATATTTGTGGATATAATTTTAATAATTAATAGAAATCGGAATGTTATAGATTAAGACTATTTCGAGGTGCAATTTCTTGAATCGTTGATTGAAAGAATTGAGAAGAACTTATTTCTTCAATCAACAATATTACCCTTCATGGAATTTCCGGTTTACCGGAAGTTATGTTAAATAAATTCATTTTCGACTATTTGATGGGGTTTCTCCGTTTATGACTAAAAGACAAAAAGATGCGATTTTCATATCACTGTACTCATTTTTTTTCGAAACAATGGAGATTTGTTAGCCTTCTAGAAAAAATCTAGGGCGGGTAATTCTTGGGGTAATTTTAAATAAAAAATAAACAGAGAAATATAATATTGCATGCCAATATAATATTTCTATTAAGAATAAAACATTAATATAGACTCTAAAGACCCTGAAGATTACAGACCCATTACCTGCCTCTCTAATGTATATAAACTAATGACAAAAATAATCTGTACAAAAATCACTGAATATCTGGATAGAAATCATATAATAGCAGTAAAACAGAACGGATGCCGAGAAAGATCTAGAGGCAGTAAATAATTACTAATCAAAAATAGTGTTAGGCATGCAGGCGCAAGATAAACAAGACACCTATCGATAGCTTGGATAGATTATAAGAAAGCGTACGATTCTGTCCCGCATTCTTGGCTTCTCGAGGTTCTGAAACTATACAAAGTTAATCAACAACTCATCAAACTGCTAAAAATAGCTATGTCAAAGTGGAGTACCGAACTAATAGTAAAACATCAAACTGAAAGCTATGAAACAACTGAAACAAAAATAAGACGAGGTATATACCAGGGGGACAGCCTAAGCCCAATATGCTTTATTATTAAGAACAGTACATATGGATATAAAATTAATAGCCAAACGAACTACCGGATGTCACACTTGATGTACATGTGGACGACCTAAGATTGGACTGAGTAAATGTGCTGCAGCCAATGCGCTGCAGTTCATTACAAAAAAGGAAAATTAAAAGACACACCGAATATAAAGCTAATGAACGAAGTAGAAATCAACACTCTCAAAGAACCAGCTTACAAATATCTAGGCATGTAGCAAACCGGCCAAATTATAAACAAGGCAATGAGAGATACCGGCCAAATTAAAGAGAAGACAGTGAGAGATATTACTAAAGAAAAATATTTAAAACGTGTGAAAACAGGTGTCCGAACATACTTACCAAGGTCAAGAAACCAAACCAACCGAGTTAATCGTGAATCGAAAAAAAAAAAGAAATAATAATAGCAATAAGAAATATTCTTACATTTGCTTTTCTTAAACCTGCTGGCTTGTTAGTGTAGTAAATACTTTTGTGTATCGCAGTCAATTTACTGTCTTGAAATATTGGGATATAATTATTATTAATACAAAAGAATAAGCAAAGAAAGTACATCGAGCTGATTGTCCAGGTGCGCAGGCTATGTCCTAAATTACAATTAATTGTCGGTATGTGAAGAATGAGAGCGCTTAACCAAACTTCGGAAAATTCTATTATGCCGAGGTTCAACCTGGCAGCTTGGAATGTACTTGTATATGTAGAAAGCAGTGGTTATTGGGACCCTTCTTCGGAGAATTTTCGGTACAGTACGTTAATAATACAGATTTTCTATCATTAAACAATTTAATATCTATACTATATATAGTTATATAAAATCCTTAGGTGACTGACTCACTGATTAATCACGATCCTACTCAAACCACTCAACGTAAGAAAAGCTCAATTTTGGCATACAGGTTGATTCTAGGGTGTAGAGTGTAGAGGTTTGATATGAATGGATTTTTCGAAATTCCAGTTCCAAGGGGGCGAAACCACCCCACAAATATTACAATATTTTTTATTTAAAAAACGGTCAAGTTTCCGAAAAAACGCTTAAACACGTATATTTTATTCTGTTTTTTACATATTTTAAAAATGTATACAGGGTGTTTCGAAAAATCTTGTCATTGATTAATCGCACGATCCTGTTTAAAGCGCTTGACGTAAAAAGCTAATTTTTGGAAAACGGATTGACTTTAGGGTGTAGAGGTTTTTCGAAACTCGAATTCTAAGGGGGTGAAATCACCCCTCAAATATTAGAACATTTTTTATTTAAAAACCGGTGAGTTTTTCGGAAAAACTCTTAAACACGTATCTTTTATTTTGTTGTTTTACATATTTTAACATTTTTTAAAAATTTATACAGGGTGTTTCATAAAATATGACCATTGAGTACCCATAATCACGATTTTGCTTAAACTGCTTGACGTTTAAGGCTGATTTTTGACAAACGGATTGACTGTGGTGTGTAGAGGTTCGATAAGGAAGGGTTTCTCGAATCTCAAATGCCAAGAGGGTGAAAACGCCCCTCAAATATTACAATATTTGTTATTTGAAAAACGGTTAGTCTTTCGGGAAAACGCTTGGATTTTGTTTTTTTATATATTTTGATATTTTTATATATCAAAATACATACATAAGGTGTTTCAAAAAGTTGGGTAATTCATTAACCACGATTCTGCTCCAGTTTGTATGTTAATGGAAATTCTTGCTTTGCTTTATCTTCACCATTACAAATGATTAATTCGACGCGAACGAAGTCGCGGGTTCACGCTAGTAATATTATATGATTAAACAAAGAACGGCGCCAGAGTTATGCGTTGGCTGCCAGAACGAGTGGAGGCTCCACAGTACTACGACTTATACTGGAGACATAAGGGGAAATCAAATCAGCCTTGTCACGAATTTGCCCATTAGGTTGTGTATCTTCCCAATTCTTTTAATCAACGGTACTAGATTTAATTTTTTTTCCTCAAAGGTATTGTGAATGTGGATAAAAATAAGCTTGGATTGATCTGGATTTTCTATTTTTATTGGTATTATTAATTTCTGAGACAATTTTATTTTATACCACATTTTGTCTTATTTATAAATTTCTTTCTGGAAAGGGGGGATAATTAGCTCCATTACCCCTCCCGGTAGATGCCCTTTAAAATAACAATTTTTTTTAATTCCCCCCCCCCCTTATTAACATAAAAATATATACATAATGTGTTGTTTAATTTCTAGCTTCCTAAAATAGGTGCAAAGTTTGTCTTCTTATTAGGAATGTTTGTAGCGGGCATATGTAATTTATTATTTGGGTAAGTAACATAGAGTACAATGATAAATTTTAAATAAAAGAAAGATTCAGGAGATACTTAGTGTTAACTTAATGATAATACAATATATTAATACTAGTTGAAGCCTGGCGCATCCGCCACGACATCAGGAAAAAAATACTTTTTATTTTTTTTAATTAAATGAAAAAAAAACATCGGGCGACGACAGTTTTTAGAAGAGCCAATTCTCTAGCTATCTTTTAGTAAAAAAAACAACTTTCTAGAGCAAGTCGCTACTTCAGTAGAGACGACACAGATAAACATTAGCATTTTATATATGTAATCTATAAATTCAACTCAATTCTGGTTTATTTTGCATTTTCATTATAATAAAGATTGCAAACACGTTGGCCTAGATAGTCTAGGTATATGACATTTTTATTGTATGTTACATATAACTATGTAATTAGCCAACGAATAACCAATCGAGTGTAAACTTTTTATTCGTATTTGTAACAAAAAATACTGAAACTATTTAATAACAGGGTACTCGATAAAGATTAATATAAGACTGCCTTTATAGCATTTAATTGTTAATTTTACTTTTCAGTATGTTAGAATACGTTACGGATTATACGATATTTACCACACTATGTTTGGTTATAAGAGGATTTGAAGCTTTGGGTGCAAGTGCATTTTCCACGGCTAGCTACGTGTTTGTAGTCAATACCTTTCCTAATAACATTGGATCAGTGATAGTAAGTAATTTAATCTTGTTTGTTAATGTAAATCAATGTTAATGTTTTTGATTAGCATTGAATGTATGGCACAGCATTGTTTTCTATAATATGCTTCTGATCTTGATTCTAAAGGCGCGTACACACCGCAAAAACGAGAATAAAATAAAGTAAATATTTGGTAAATATAATATTTTTATTTCACGGAAAGCTAGTATTGGTACAGATTTGTTCATTAACATTTTTTTTAATTACCTATACCTATGGATGTAAAATAATTTTTAAAGATAGTTTGCATTAATACAAAACTCAAAAGTGGCTCATCCCTATAACTTTTTTATTTTTTCAGATAAAAAAATGAGATTTGGTATGTTAGTATATGACGTACATTAGGATTGATTGACGTATTCAATTATTTTCTGTCACTTCCTGTTTCACCGGAAATGACTACAACTTTTGATTTTTAAATGGCACCCTTGGTATTTTTTTACTCTATTCTATAGAAAATGACATTCTAAATAGAATGACATATCATATGTCAACTTTTGACATTTTTGCTTAAAACAAAATTTAATTTTAAATTTCAATCTAGTGTGCCCTGGCTGTGTTATAAACACTAATTTTTAATCAAGGAGCCTTGGAAAAATAGAGTTGATCTTCTAATATTATTCGTGCCTTGCCCTGGCCGGTTAAAAGATGCTGAAATCGTATTTTCCAAACCAAACCAAATCACAATTCAATTCTTTCAAATGGAACGAGGGTGGCTTATTAGCATATTTTGAAAAAGCATTTTTTTACGAATAATTTGGTACCACACATTTGGTATTTCGAGTCAAATTGTCGTTATGAATCGCATATTGCAATTTCAAATAAACCATATTCGAAAATGTCAAAAGTTGACATATGATATGTCATTCTATTCAGTGTGTAATTTTTTATCGAATAAAGCAACAAAACCCCGAGGGTACTTTTTAAAAATCAAAAGTTGTAGTCATTTCCGGTGAAACAGGAAGTGACAGAAAACAACTGAATACGTCAATCAATCCTAATTTATGTCATATATTAATATACCAAATCTCGATTCTTTATCTGAAAAAATGAAAAAGTTATAGGGGTAAGCCAGCACTTTTGATACGCACCTGGTATAACGAAAATCGGATCATTTGAATGAAATAAATTAAATATCAATTTTTTTTCACGAAAAGCAAGTATTACTACAGATTGGTTGGATGATTTATAAAATAATTATTAGATATATTCCTATATTATATCTAATAAATATAATTTAGCATGATAATATTGTATAGTTATTTCTACTCATTTCAGCATTACGTTAAATTAAACACTAGATAAAATATAATATTTTTATTTTAGGGAATCTTGGAAACATTTGTAGGGTTAGGTATGAGTACCGGCCCGGTACTTGGAGGATTTCTTTATTCGGTATGTATCCAATACATGCAGGGGTTTCACACGTAACACTTTTATTAACTTATTTTTTTTGACATCACTAGAATAAAAGAACTATGAAAGGAGAAAACTAATACTTAGACCGAGGAAGTTTTTTACGATTTTTTTAATTTATTTCTTATTTACTTTGGAATTGGTATTATGCAAAATGTATAAACCTGGATAGATATATTAACATGTACAGCGTACAATCGATACCTAACATGTACAGCGTGCAATCATTTCTGGACTAAAATTATGAAAAATATTAGAATATTTTCAATATATTAATATACTATATGTTCGGAAAAAAAAACGGCGTCATCGATTGCTATGAAATGAACATCGTTGTCATTTTATATGTAAAATTATAAAGGGAATGTCGTCGATCGTCATTTCCAAGCCAACTAAACGCTGTTTTTTCTATAATACGGTATATAATACAAGGATAATACCATAAACCGAAAAAAAAACGGCGTCAAAGACGGCTGGCGAATTACAATTCGATGATAATTTTGGCAAGGTCGAGCCCTAGACGTCATTAATTGGCTCGTACTCTTCTTTATTCTTTAATGACGTTTACTGCCAGTCGGCCTTAAGAAGGTTATAATTTATTTTTATATTGAATAAAAATGATTTTTATATGGTGTAGTTTATTCGAGAAAAAATATTTTTTTAGAAATAGATTTCTATGTCTGGAAACTTTCTATTCTTTATAAATCTTTCCATAATTAATCTTAATTAATTAATTAATAATTAATTTGTCAATTTTTATTAAATGACATCTAGAGATTGACCTCGCCAAAAATATCATCGATTGTCATGCGCCAGCCGTCTTTGATGCCTATTTTTTCGATCATACGGTATAATAATATATTTTACGATTACAAGACGAGGAAGGACCACTTAACAAATTAGGTTTTTATTTTTGGATACGGCAATTTTATGAAAATTACGATACTATTCCAGCAGCGTATCTATTATGTTTATAATTGCATTAAATTATTTATTTTTATTAGGAAATTATTTATAAAAATTATAAACTAAACCTTCAAATTATTGAGTGTACCTCAGAGATATAGAGTAGGGAGAATGAGCTTCAACGAGTGCGCATCGAAAAATTTCCTTATGCTATGATTGTTAAATTTGTTGTGTTTTTCTGAACAAACGTCTTTTGTATTCTTTTGAACTATTTATAGTATTTTATGGGTACTTAATAATTAGTAGGTAGTTAGTTTAGTCAATTTTACGTTTAGTAGATATTTTAATCATGGCTCGTTGTACTCGAGTATAAAGGAGTAGTAGTAGTAGTACCCTATAATCTCTATATCTCTTGTGTAATTTATTTTATACTTCAACAAGTTAAAAGAATAGGATGCCACAGGATATACAGGCACGGCTACAGATAACCAGGAAATCAAGTCAGCTATATTGACCACACACCCCATCGCGATCTTACCAATTTTGATGATATACTCCTTCTTTAGTTTTTTTATTCCGTTAAAAATTCTCATTTCAATTTTGTAAGAAATAAAAAAGTTTTTATTCACAATGACATTAGTATCATCCTATAATTCATTGTAAAATTGTTTATCTTAATTTCGTTTTAGATAGGTAGGCGGTTTCGATTTACCATTTATTGTTTTGGGCGTTTCCATGATGGCTATTGTTCCGCTAAATATGTGGCTCCTGCCAACTGTTGAAGGTAATTATATATAGCGACTTGTTGAAGGTAATTATAATATGGCATGCTTTTAAATATTCCTAACCATGCAATGACACAATTAGGAGACAATCTGTGATTTTTTCGGGTAAAATTTCACTAGTTTCCTACCTTTCACTACTTTCCTAAAAGTTTCCTACCGCACTCGAAAGTTTACTATAATTTTCTCTTGAGCTCCCTACTCATTTCTAGATTTTTTTGAATTTATTTTTATAATTTGAAAGCATTATGTTAAAGTCGGTGCGCTTCACTAAACGATATAGCTTTTTATATAAACACCAAACACCGATACGATATACTATTATAATATTATTATCAGATTTATTATGCATTTTTTAATTAAGACTATTTCGTTTTTAACCCCTTTATCAAAACACCTAGAGCATTTAAAGAACCACTAGGGATAAAAGGGGAGTCTTAAGCAGGCTAGGAAAACCTGGATTGTGCAGACGATCTTTGTGTCTTTTCCCATTCACATTCGGATATGTCTCCAAAACTTCTAAGACTCCAAGACGAAGCTAATAAAGTCGGTCTTCAAATCAACGTGGCGAAAAGCAAAGAAATTATGTCAAATACTCTCAACAACCAAGATCTATTCCTCTCAACAGAGTCATCGAAAGAGTTGATGAATTTGAGTATCTGGGAAGTATGGTTCGCAGCGATAGGGACACGGAGAAAGATATAGAGGAAAGAATCTTGAAGGCACAAAGACACACAGATGCATGCTTGCATCTATGTGGAACTCCTCCATATATAGAAAAAAAAATCCAGCTTTTCAACAGCAACGGAAAATCTATTTTACTTTATGGATGCGAAACATGAAAATTTACGTGGTCTCATGGATCGCCTGTAGGTGTTTGTTAACAAGTGTCTTCGAAGAATATTGAGAATTTTCTGGCCCGATCAAATTAACAACGAAGAACTGTGGAGAAGAACATCACAAAATCAAATAGATATATAAATTAAGAAAAGAAAGTGGGGCTGAATGGGCACATTTTGCGCAGACCACACAGAGATATCGCAAGACAGGCACTTGAATGGAATCGGCAGGGAAGACGAGCCAGGGGAAGGGAACTTAAATTTACTAGTAGCTAATACGAATTTAAAACCCCATTACAACAGTATCACAGTTTCGGCAGAATGGCATCATTAAATCAAACCAAACACATCGAAATTAATTAAATCGAATTGTTTAAGTGATATTTTCAAAAGTCAAACTCGGAAACGGTTGGTTTGATTGTGTGTATTTCGATTTTTGCTTAGAATTGGAAGAATTGAAATATGTAATAATATATAAGGGGTTCTATTTAAAAAAATGAAACTTAGATGTTCCACGACTTTATGATCGGACCCTGTATACTTAAATTTATTACTCGCTAATAGATATGTGAAAATCCTATAAATTTTGGTATTTAACTTTTTGCGGTACCTCCAATATTTTACCTAATCATCGACCGTTTCCATATATAGAAGCGACCCTGTATACATAGAGAAAATATATGGTGCATATCCTAAAAATATTTTGTTGTATCCAGGGTGTTCCAAAAAAAGTTATGATAAAGTTTTAAGGTTTATAAATTACACCGCCTATTTTTCTGTACATAATTGGATTCAGCATAAAATTCTCCGTGTAGTACACTATTTTTATTTGAAGCACTATGCGGTGTTGCCATTCTATTTCGTATTTACTGAAATTTTTGTTAAAAACACTATATCCGAACTGTGGTAAAAAACTGGAGTAGGTAAATATAATTTTATTAATACTTAGTGGCTGGCCGTAGTCCCAGCAGTATGTGTCGATTTGCGGGGCGAGAGGTACTAGGTTCGATCTCCAGCCAGTACAGTCGCCTTATTTATTTAAAATAAAAACATTTATTTGTCTAAATAGAGCGACCAGCGAGCCGTCACCTCAAGGAAGGCAATGGCAAAAACCACCTTGAGTATATTTGCCTTGTACAGCCTCTCAAATAGTGCCGTTAGGATTCGGCAATAAACTGTAGGTCCCGTTTACTTGTGAAATACTGATGCACATACTGATGACTGATGACACACAACACAAGTACATGCGAGAGGTAGCCAACGCCCTGCCTAGAGTACGGCCGCTACAGCACTGTTAGAAGAAGATTAATACTTACCTATATTTTCCTAAACATCAAGGATACCTAACAGAATAAATCCGCAATGTTTATCTTATACGGAATATTTTTATGACGTGGCCAATATTGCAATATTTAGAATGCTCTATCTCAAATTTTTAACCTAACACCCTGTAGGTATATTATTTCTCTTTTAGATGCAAAATTAAAACAGTAATATTTTTTGCATTTAAAGTATTCCTATATCATACTAGAACTACCCTCTATAAAACCGTCCCAGATACTGGCTTTTGTCAAAGCCCTGGGACTGTATGATGAGTATGATTCAAGAAAGGGGGACACAATGGATCTGTAAGGTCGAAGTGATTAACCCCCCTCCCACTCATTCGAAATTCTAAAAAAAAAATTCCTATATCATTAACCGTTTCGCAGATATTTCCAGTATTATATTGTATATGGCTCTTTTTCAGTAGTAAAATATAAGGCAAAAAATTATGAGATGGCTTTGATAAAAATTTACTGCTAAACCGTTAAAAATTTAGAAACACTTTAAATACAAAAAATGTTCATTTTTTAATTCTGCATCTAAAATAAAAATAAAATACAGGGTGTTACATTTTAAAAAAATGAAATAGAGCATTTTAAATATTGCGATGTTGGCGATGCCATAAAAATTAGAGTATAAGTAAATTTTCCTTCGCGGGTTAATAATCTTATCATTGGTGTTTAGGAAGATGTAGTTAACTATTAATGAAGTGAACTTTACTCTAGTTGTTAACCACTTTTAGAGTATAATGTTTTTAACCAAAGTTTAAGTAAATATTAAATAGAATTAAAACACCGCATACTGCGGAAATAAAAATAGCGTAATGTATGCAGAATTTTATGCTGAATCCAAATCTGTACAGAAAAATGGGGGGTGCAAACTTTATCATAACTTTTTTTTGGGACATCCTGTATACGACAAAATATTTTTAGGATATGCACCATTACAAATCATGCAACATATATATAAAACTTTTGTTCATCCCTTTGTCAACGATGAGCGATGATATCGGAGTTCCTCGCACTAATGAGCCACCCTGTATATATTTTTTACAATGACTAAAACTTTAGTCATTGATTTTTTAACTGTAATGAAATGTAGGTAATAATTTTTCGTAATTACGCTACTGAGATATCTATGGAAGAATATTTATACATTCTCGCCATTTATGTCTAATTTATTGATGAATCCAGGGCACGGAATTTGTATATATGAAAAGGATAATTATTACCTGCAACTAAAAAAATTGAAAACAACAATTGTGTTAGGTATAGAATTTTTCCTAATTCTGCACGTTTACTTTTTATACCTGTAGTACTGTGTATTGTGATATATTAAAGCAGTTTTGCTAATTACATACAAAACTATAGCAAGGTTTTACAATCCTAGAGAAAACATGTCTTTCCAATCGACAGGTGTGTGTGACTAAGTATAGATTTTTTTAATTCTTGTTCCCATTTCTTGTCAAAATCATATAGCTGGAGATGGACAGACTAATGACTATAGGCACAGCTATAGATCTTGGTGGTAATCACTAAAAATTAGAATTAATGACTATTTTAAAAACCTTTATATTAATTGTATAGAATTTGTGACAATACATAACATATAAAATATATTCTAATAATATCTAAAAAATATAAATATTTTTAAGTTTATTAGTAACCACTAATCGCTATTGTAAAGTCTTATAATATCTAATGGCTTGGCAGGTAAGTTTGTTACTGGACATTTTTGATTTTCACTCAAATACTTATAAACACAAGGAAAGCAAAAAATGTATCCCGATACTGGAATGACACTTGGATTGTTCCACTTGAGTTTGCATATTGGACATTTTCCTTGATATGTTTTTCCACTGGAGTCATACAATGGAACTTGCACCTTCGGTAGATCTGTCATATTATTTTTAGGCATTTTTGCATTCCAAGATTCAAGAAAATGTATAAAAAATGCAGTAACTTCAAATATATTTCCTAAAGTTCTTCTTACTATGTCAAAACTTAACTCTGAAAGCACTAATTTTCTGGAAAATAAAATTTCCCATAAACTTGGTGCCGGAAGCTCATAAGAGTAACATAACTTCATATTTAACATGTGTAAACTTGGTAATTGGTACTTTGTGTCAAGAGCCATGTATCGGAGATAGTAATGGATATGCATAAGGCCCCATATAATTTGAAAAACTGTATGTGAAAATATTAGAACTTTTTTAGTTTGCCCTCCGATGTCCTTCTGAATGCATCCTTCTGCATACTCAATTCTATACTGCTGTAACTTCTCTTCAATTTTTCTTTTTATGAATGGTATTATTACCAACGTAATAAAAGATAGTTCTCGTTCGCGTTGTGTTAAGCCGTTTCCATTTCCAATGACTCTTTCCAAATTGTAACAGTTTTCCGAAAATGAACTATTGTAATATTTTAAATGATAGTATTGTAAAAAACTATTCAGTATAATAAAAGCCCCTTCATGGTGATTATACACAAATTGAAACTGCCTCGGAAAAACGGTAGTTAAAAATTCGATTGTCTGTTGGAAAGCTGGATATAAGGTTTCATTTAACGTTTGCTGTGCTATAACTTCGAAAAGGGAAGGCCGAGATTGGAATGTTGTAAAATTTGCTATACTTTCTGCCATAACTGTACAGAAATTTCTAAAGTCTTAAATTCCCATGAAGATAATTTCTAGAGAAAATATTAAAGAACGACATATTTATTTTGAAAATTTCGGTTAGAGGTTACGGTCTCTTTTCTTCTTCTTATTTTCATGGACTCAAGGACGCACACCACAGCCGCTAGAAAATATGCTTTTATATATGAACTATGGAGTGTAGAGGTATATGAACGACTGATCGAGATACTCGAGATAGACTCAAATTAATTTACTCGATAAACCTAAGGATAAACCATTATTACTTCTATTAGAATATTATGTAATATTACGACTATTCTAATGTTTTCACATACAATTCCCAGATCACTCCACACTCTCCAAATTAAGCTTTAATATAGTCTTCTTAATTCAAAGCTTTAATGCAACTACTCACAGATATGGAGAGAGGGTGTATATAGGGTGATTGCCAATGAATAAAAAAAGTGTTTTTTTATTCATTGGTGATTGCAAATGGGCGCCATTGTCTATTCGTAACGTCAAAATAGTTACAAGTGAATATTGATATGAACTTCCATGTAGCCCCTCTATATACGAGGGTCCTATAAAAAATATTAATACTTATAGCACAGAATATCTATATAGCTACGCAAATAAGTAGAAAAGTAATAAAATAAAATAAATACGTAGCCAGATATTCTGTGCTTATAGGTATATAATTTTTTATTTAATATTGTTTTGTAATTTATTATTACTGTATCACTTTATTTGATTAGCTTGACTTTTAATTATTATTAATATAATAACTGATATACATGTACAAATAAAATACACTACAAAAAAAATACACAATAAAAATAATATGAAAAAAATAGGTGCACAATTATTTTTTCTAAAGATTGAATACCCAAAATTGGTTTCAAAAAGATATACAGGGTGTTCTAATATTTCATGGACATAGACCTACTATGTATTTTTAGAATCAAAATAAGTTCATTGGACACCATTTACCTCTATACAAAATTGGTGTGTTTATCCGTTAGAGAGGTCATCAAACTTTTAAAAAATAAACACGTTTTTCAATCTTACTTTCTTCTATGAGTTAGATGCTACCCTTGATGCTACGCAGGGTATTTCGAATTTAGACTATTTTAAATCAAAAATCTCAACTTATTTATACAGGGTGTTTCAAAAAACATGAGCCATCTCTCGTCATTCCCCACGTAAAAATAAGATGTATTTTTCATATCAACATAGGTCCGATTCTGCTTTGTTGGGTAGCTACAGGGTGTTAAAGTCTTAATATTTATTCGATTTATTTTAATTTTCTTCCAAGTACTTTTAGCGTTTTGAATGAAATTTTGAAGGTAAAATTTACTATAAATGGGACATATTTTAAAGCTAAAAAAGTGTCGAATACCAGGGACGTGCAAATGGGTTATCACTGGAATATTTTTCTAAAAAAAGAATGTACGCCACTTACTTGTTTTTCTCTTGTTAGCGAAATAGTGTAAGCAGTTTAGTACCGATTAAAAGTTGTCTCTTGATATTTTGTCGATTTTAGCCTCCTTTATGAGATGCAATTTTATTAATTTGCCTTGATCCAAGTCTAATAGCAACCTTTAAAAAAAATTGATAATATTTAACTTACATGACAATATGAAAAAAAGTTTCTATAAACATGAGTATGGAAATTGATAATTTTAGAGTTACAGGATGTTAAAACATTTTAAAATTAGGTTTTTTGTAATAATTATTATCTTTACCATTATTAGCCGACCATATACCAATGGTAGGTATGGTAGGCTATTAGGATCGGCAAAAAAAAAGTGTTTTTAATTTCACTCAAAATGAGTTATTTGGGTCATAAATGACCTAAATACAAAATATTTTCATGGTGTCTGTCTGTCTGTCTGTCCGTCTGTCTGTCCGTCTCTCCGTCTGTAACACGATAACTCAAAATTTTGATTTGGTTGCGACCAAACCAAACCAAACCGCTGAACCGATTTTAACCAAATTTGGCACAAAAATACTATGGCACCCGAGAATCTGGCCATTAGTTTTTGGTGGGGGTGGGGGTTTGTAAAGGGGGTATGGGAGGGGGTTAAACTCCAAAATTACAGTAGCTAGCGAAACGCGGTTTTCAAATTAAGATTAGGAATAATATTTGCAACAAAATTTGTAATAACATCAAAATCAGTCAAAGTCGCAGTTTTCGAGATATTAACATATTTAATATTTTAGTATGGGCTGCTATACGTGCCTCACGGCGCCAATTTTTTTTTATTAAGGTTGGACTAATAGTAATAATAATAATAACTAATAGTAATAATATTTAATAATAAATAAGGTTAATAATAAATAACTTAATCGAACAGCACGCTTTGTATCTTGGCATACGACCCGATACAAGTATTATGATTATTCCAGAGAAACCTGTGATGACAAAAAAAAATCCGAATTCGACAAAATATCAAGAGATAACCTTTAATTGGCATTAAACGGCCTACACAATTTTGATATCAAAAGAAAAAAGTCAGTGAGGCACATATTTTTTTTTAAATATTCCAGTGATAACCCATATGCACATCCCTGATGAATTTATCGACACTTTTTTAGCATTAAAATATGTAGCATTTATAGTAATTTTTAGCCTTACAATTTCATTCGAATAACTGAAAGTATTTGGAAGAAAATTATAATAAATCGAAAGATTATTTAGACTTTAACACCCTGTAGCTACGAAACAAAGCAGAATCGGACTTATGTTGATATGAAAAATAAATCTTATTTTTACGTGAGGAATCTCCCTAAGAGAGATGGTACATGTTTTGTGAAACACCCTGTATATGGTACCAATATTATTTTTCTTTTTTTTTAGGTTTTACACATTTCATCAAAAATTATACGAATTTTTATTATAAATTAAATTTGTTTTATAGATTTTGATAACGTGTCCAACAAGAAAACTTCTGTATTGAAGCTGATTAAAGTACCTGCGGTGTCTGTAACAGGTCTGGTAGTGGTTATAGTTTCAAGCGTATGGTCGTTTTTAGATCCGACACTGGAACCCCATTTACGACAGGTATGTCAAAAACGCAAGGAATTAATACGAGTGTATTCTGAATCAGAATTCTGAAGAGTTTCCGTAGACACTATGATAAAAAAAACATTTTTTTTTAATTTAATGACATCAATCGATCTATTTTGCTAACAAGAGAAAAAAGTCAGTGATGCTTTTTTTCTTGTTAGCTTGTATTTAAGAAAATAATCCAGGGATAATGCATATAAAAAATAATCCAGGGATAATGCATATGCACGTCCCTGATGAATATGTCGACAATTTTTTAGCTTTAAAATACTTATGTTGCATTTATAGTTACTTTTTCCCTCAAAATTTCCTTTGAATCGCTAAAAACACTTAATATAAAAAGTAGTTATGGCACATATGTTATTTTGAAGCACCCTATGTATAATAATAATTGTCAAATTTATTTTAGTTCAATTTAAGTCCAGAGAAAATTGGATTGATCTTTCTTTTATTTTCCGCCCTATATGGTCTATCCAGCCCTGCCTGGGGTTGGTTGGCGGATAAAGTTAACAACCATTGGTCAATGATGGTAGTGGGACTGTTCATGTGCACTATAGGATTGTTGCTATTAGGTCCATGTCCATTTATTCCAAATATAGAAAGGTTGGTATATACGGGGTGGTAGAAAAATGCGCGGACATTATCTGTAAGTGATTTCTCAAATTTTCTGTTTTTTTTAGTTCCCTTTGGTTGAACTTAGTGGCCTTGTCATTATTGGGTATATCTGTAGCTTTAGCCTTGATGCCAACTTTCCAAGGAGTTTTAAACAGTGCAATGTAAGTCTTTTGGAAGATAGTGTAATGCGATCAACGACATATTATACAGGGTGACCCAGGCTTCCGAAAGAGCTCTATATTAGATTTTTGGTTTGCGATTTTCATTTCAATTTTTTTACATAATATGGGGGCAATAGTAACGCGCGTTTTGAAAATAATTTTGTCAACATACAGGGTGATACAAACATATTATTTTTAAACCAAAGTTGTATATTTTTAAATGGAATACTATCTTTTTTAACTCACTAGATTTGCCTTTAAATTTCCATTCCAAAAATACCATAATATCATATACTATACCGAGTGTTTTTTTGAAATATAACCCTTTTTAAACTAAAGAGAGGGAGGGGTATTGGTTTATAGAGCGCGTCAACAGCGAGGGTTTTTTTAGCGCTCAATAATAAGCTTCAGTTAATATGAGGTTATTTTAAATTATTAGAAATTAAAGTTTTTTCGTTACTTTGATGCTGTCTAACAATTCCATAACTTTATTAATCTTCGAAATGTTAAAAGGCGCGAAAATATTCTCATAGGTTGAGAAAAAAATGCATTAAAGAATCTAGACCTATGGGAGGCAACAGGTAAGCATTCAAAAATGTATAAACTAAATTGCTGCTTATTAAAAGCCCTCTTAAAATTCTAAATTCGAAGAATTTTAACAAAAATTTAACAGAAATTACTGTCACACATTACTTTAAAAAAATTAAAATAAAAATCACAGACCAAAAACCTAATATAGAGCTTTTTCGGAAGCTTGGGTCACCCTGTATGTAAAATTATGTGCAGTGGAGGCACGTGGTCATTTCTAAAGGTCAGCAAAACAGTAACATGCGGTATTAGAGAACCGCATGATCTTGTTTTCCTTCATATGTTTTTTTTAAAGGAAGAACAACATTAGTCACAGTTAGCCTGGGCCAAGATGTCAAGAAAAAAAATATATGAACTTTGAGTACATTATTTTTTAAATGCCGATGCCACTGGCTTCAAAAAAATATAAAAATTAAAATCGCCGACGTACAATTGGGGTCTCTACACAAATTAAAAAAAAAACTTTTTCAACCAAAGTAGAAAGCGCTCAAAAAGTTTTGTTAATAATAAATAACGACCATCATCACCAAAAGGTATGCTTACTGTTGCCCCCCTCCCTGTTTCTAAATCCAGGAGGTTGGGTCTCTACACAAATTTAAATAAAAATAGACTTTAATCTAACGGAAAAAGCAAAAAAATATATTTTTTTAATATTTTAGTGATAAAATTTTACTTTATGATCATAAGTATTAGTAAACAAGTAAAACTACTAACTAACAATTGAGGAAGTACAATTAATAACTTTAACACACACTGAATTTAGACTAAAAAGGAAGAAAACAATTAGGTACTAGCTATAAGTAAATAAATAAATTATAAATACTATGAGTTTACTGTTGTAGTAAGCAACACTCCTAAGGAGTTTTTTTGATAGTTTTTTGATCTCGGATTTGAATTAAAGTTTTTTGAGAACAACTTAAAGGAATGATGCACCTGCTCTGAGGCTTGCTCAGAGTAAAAGCCCAATGCTTTCTGTGAAATACTAACAAGATCCACTATATGGGGAACAACAGCGTGAATTTTTGGAGTAAAACTGATTTTCGTATCTCTTATTTTGTCGGAAAATTTCAGTATATAGGCTTCGTAATAATTGGTATCAATATATTTTCCAAAACAGCTGGCTACCACATCATTGAAGGCACAAAATACCTCTATGTATTTGTTGTCTAAAAAAAATAAACAAAGGGCTTAGTGTCCAAATAACAATAATAAAATAAAGTTTGTTACAAAGTAAGTACCAGGATCTAGTGCTTTAAGGACGTCAACTTTTTTAAGCAAGTTTCTGGCATTATTTCTATTATTATTATGTTTTTTGTACAACTCCCATCTAAATAAATATATAGTTGATAATTGGAAGATTGTCATCACCAGTTATTAAAGGAATGTTGACGCAATTCTCTAAAAATTTTAATTAAAATTTGCAAAAAATAACTATTAAAAAAGTCAATAAAGTAAACTTAGCAGTACACTTACTGTACTTTTTTGTTTCTTTTAAATTTCCACCTGTCTCCTCGTTCCATAATGTACTCCATTTGGAAATAGCTTTTATGGATCTTAGTTCTCCCCTTGACTGTAAATTTTTTGAGTTAACATCACTCCAGGTACATAGATTGAAGGCCCAATATAATCATTATCAACTTTAGATCTGCGGCAAATGTGTAAGAACTGACTCCACAAATAGTATGGAGTTGCAAAATCTCAAACATTGCTCTGATATTTTTGTAGGTTTCTATTATTTTGGGAGCCAATCCTATTATAATAAGTTTGTTTATTCCGGTACTTTTATGTTTTTCTTGTTTTATTTCGGGATTTTCGTAACAACATAAAGACAGACAAATTTTTAAAGATCCACCTACACTATCTATGCCCACTTTTAAATGGAAATCATCAGTAAGTTCACGTTTTTTAAACAAATGGTATTTCCATCTGGCCAGGCAGGCAAATTGGTCAAAAAAATCTTCTTAGAAGTGTTGCTTCCTACAACAGTAACCATGTTTAAAATTTATTTATTTACTTATAGCTAGTACCAAATTGTTTTCTTCCTTTTTAGACTAAATTCAGTGTGTATTAAAGTTATTAATTGTACTTCCTTAATTGTTAGTTTGTAGTTTTACTTGTTTAATAATACTTATGATCATAAAGTAAAATTTTATCACTAAAATATTAAAAAAAAAATATTTTTTTGCTTTTTCCGTTAGATTAAAGTCTATTTTTATTTAAATTTGTGGAGAGACCCAACCTCCTGGATTTAGAAACAGGGAGGGGGGTAAAAGTAAGCATACCTTTAGGTGATGATGGTCGTTATTTATTATTAACAAAACTTTTTGCGCGCTATTTATTTTGGTTGAAAAAGTTTTTTTTTAAATTTGTGTAGAGACCTCAATTGTACGTCGGCGATTTTAATTTTTATATTTTTTTGAAGCTAGTGGTATCGGCATTTAAAAAATAAAGTACTCAAAGTTTATATATTTTTATATGTTCTTGACATCTTGGCCCAGGCTAACTGTGTAGTACTACAAAAAAGGGAAAGGTCTTAGCGATAAAAAACCTATCTGTAAATGACAATTCAATGTACCTACCATAATAGAGAATTCATTAAAAGTTGTCGTGCACGTTGAAACTGTCCCATAGAGTATGGGATACGTTTTAAACATTAACAAAAAGCTCTAATTCGTGGGGACCTGTTCGTCACAAGACCTCAATTATGTAATTACGGTTTTTCCTAGGTACTGCAATTAAATATTGTAAGTGAAATTTTGCTTCACCGAGCGCGGCGAGCCGCTACTGTTTTCCATATCTTTTGAAAGAAATTTTGTGACATTAGATACTTATTCTAGACATGGAGGATGCAGCGATTCCATAACAACGTATAGTGTCGTCGCTGGCGTTTGGTCTAGCATGTACTCTTTAGGAGAAGTTGTTGGCCCGTTATTAGGTGGATTCCTATTGGACAATTACGGATTTCCTATATCATCCACTGTAATGGCTGCATCAACATTCTTTATGGTAAGTTGTGTGTACACGAGGTGCTATGCATGCGAGAATTATTATACAAGGGTTGTCTTTTATATTTTGCATATAGAATCATAGTAAGCGCCTGGCAACATATATCAAATGTCAAAATTAACTGTCATCTTTAGTTAACTTAGCGCAAAAGTTTTAGACCGCTTCGTTTAAAGCTGTACCTAAACTGAATTTCACGAGTCAATCGAAAAATTAAATTAAGCGGATAAAATTTTCGGGCAATAATTTTTGAAGGCAGCTGTCTCAACAAGAATACAGAATACCTTGTCGAGTTGGTTACTGTTTTCGGCAATGAACCTCCACATCAGTTGACAATTTCTCGTTGGTATGGAAAATTTAAGCTTGGACGGATTAGTCTTAGAGACGAATGAAGAACAGATCCACCAACAACGGCAGTCACACAGGAAAACGTCGATGCTGTACGTAAGCTGATCCAAGAAGATCGACATATGTCACATATTGTGAACTTGAAGCATCATTGGGCATTTCAAAGACCTCATTGCAAAAAATACAAGATTGATTGATTTATCTGTAAAAAATTAGTTTCTCAGAAAAAAAGAACAGAAAGCAATAATTAGAGTCAACTGGTGTCAAAAAACTCTACACCGGTTTAACGATGGGAACACCCTTTTCTATAGGAGATAGACGAAAACTAATATCGGAGTGTGGAGCTCAATTTTTATCAAAAACATGATGGTGAAAACCGCACATCAATATCTGTTAGCGTTTCGGAGTTACGGGGTTTTTTAAAAATATGCATTTTTAACAAATCGCTGTAACTTTTTTGCTACGGAAAATTTTGTATTTTTGTGAAAACATTTCCAAAGCACCTTTCTACGTAGAATTTAATCGTTTAAGTATATATTTTTTAAATTAATAATTTAAGAATTATAAACAGAAAATTTGATTTTTTATATGAGACACCCTGTATATTTTTAATTCATTAAAAAGAATTTTAAATTATCTTTCCAAAAACATAGCATACTTGATATTTTGCTCGATTCCTCTTCGAGATATAGAGTTTTTAAAAATTCGCCCATTTTGAATGACTAGGCTTTGAACGGCGCCGCCGCCGGCTGTAATGCAAAAAAATTCTAGCTGTGCGCAGCAATTAAAACGAAAATAATATTTGCAATGAGACACGCAGTATTTTATAACAATTTAAATTATATTTAACAACATCAACACATTTAAACTATATGAAAACAATAAAAATTTATGGAAAATCAATACATGGGAGTTCCATTAGGGGCATATCATCAATAAGGGGTCCAAAGCCTACTAGTTAAAAGTGACGAACGTTTAAAAATTCTGTATTTCAAAGGGAACTATAACAAAATATCAAGTATGCTATATTTTTGGAAAGGTAATTTTAAGTTCTTTTCACTTAATTAGAAATATACAGGGTGTCCCAAATAAAAAATCAATTTTTCTGTTGATAAATCTTAAATTATTAATTTTAAAAAACTTATACTTATATAATATATAAGTATAAATAATTTTAAAAAACTTAAACTTATACTATATATTTGTTGGTTTAGCAATAATTTCTCTCCAAGATCAAAGAACTGCCGATTGGTACATAAACATTTGTTTGCCGGAAGTAATTGCTGAGTTTCAAAAAACCAACCTTAAACACGACGAATGACCTCCACCAAGTTCCCACTCAGCTCGAAAAACAATTGAGTTTTTAAAGAAAAAAAACATCGAGTTGTTTTTTCTTTTATCCTCCATACAGTTCCGACCTAAGTCCTATATATAACGAATTTTTTACTTTTCCAAAAATTAAGAATGGACTGCGTGCTCAAAGTTTCCAATCCCCAGAAGATGCAATTAGCACCTTCAAAAACGCAATTTTGAAAGTACCAACAAGCGAGCGAAATCTACTTTCAGAATTGGTTCCAACATGGAAAATACTTCGTAAAACAATAGAGCATTTAAAAGTTCTCTAATGTTTTTTTCTACCTCTAGGTATATTCAAAATATAAAAGACAACCCTCGTATCACTGTGACTCACGCTATACATGTTGTTAACTGGACAGTTACATATAGGGGAACAGAATGGCAACACTGCCTATTGATAACGCATGGACTTATAGGGTTTTCTGCCTACTCGTCCCCGTCGCGTCGTCTATCGACGAGCGGGCCGAGGTTGCCATATTTCAACCATAAAGCTCTTGTCGCGAGTAATAAACAAATTAACAACCTGTATATAATTGTTACATGTTTTTTCAGGGTATCGTAGCTTTCTTCTTTTTCGTATTCAAATCGGTCTGGCACGAGAATGAAAGTGAATCAGATAGTGGAATAAGCGGTTCCTGGAGGAGTCAACATAGCGAAGACAGTGTAGAATCTACTCCGCTTTTATTGTCATCTATTGGATCCAATTATCGAGCATACACTGAAGAAAAAATCCAGTATTACGAGCAAAGCAGAAAACATGAAACTGAGGTAGTGTGAAAAAGCAATGTTGCACGCAGTTATCAGTGTTTAGCGGCCTGTACACTACTCGCGAAGTAGGCCGAAGTCAAATATCAAGGTCGAATAGTGAAGAGGGTTATTTTGTTATTTAGTATTTCCTCGTCTAATTTTGTCTCGTCTCGGCTTATTTTCATTAGACGACGAAACACGAAATAACCCTCTTTACTATTCGACTTTGACCTACTTCACCCGCCTCCGCGAGTAGTTTAAAGTAGTGATGGGAAAAACCGATTAATTTCAATAATCGAGTACTACTAGTATCAAGCGATTGCAATAACCGGGCGATCGCTCGAGCGAAATATCGCTCGTATTTAAAAATACGGCTTTTCGTCCGCCACTTGGTGTAAGTACTCGTTAACGCCAAGCGCCAAGCAGTAAGTTGCGTGCGCAGGGTACAGATTCTTTCGGTGATGAATGGCAAGTAGCAAACGACGAGCGATTCGCTTGATCGCTTGATTTAGTTTATTTCAAAGCATTGTCGATGTAGGTCGTAAAATTAAGACAACTTTTTGTCTCTCAGATACGCAACGGATAAATATGTATACGGCGTCGTATAAATTTGCTACCTGCAATGTATGTAGAAAATTCGCTCAGTTTTTTATCGAGTATAACTGTTATCAATTAAAATTTTTTTAATTTCTCTTTTAAAATCTTTCAAACACATACTTTTAAAATGCTTTGGCAGAACATTGTATAGTTTTATGGCCCAATAGCCCGGTCCAGTCTGACACCTTCTCAGTCGCCAATATATGGGTGCAATGCACTCTCTATTCCTTGTAGTATAGTTATGTATGTTCTCGTGCGCCACAAAACAATGCAAATTTTCCTTTATATAGAGCAGGTTCTGGAATATATAAATGGATGGCAATGTAAGTACGTTCATTCTTTTAAATACTGTTCTGCAGTCGTCTGCAAAATGTAGCCCCCCAATAAGCCTCAGAGCTTTTCGTTGCAAACGGAAAACCCGGGAAATACTGGGAGAGTGACCCCATGCAAGAATTGCGTAGGTTAAGTGGCTATGGAAAATTGAGAAATATGCAGTCATCAATACATCCGTCGACACTCTGGTCTTTAAACCACGCAATAAATACAAAACTTTAGACAACCTACTTGCGAGTGCGTCAATATGAGCACCCCATTATAGTCGTGGCTCAAGATAAACTCCCAGAAATTTTACAGGGTCTAATCTTGAATCTTTTATGTCTCTCATTGAAAAAATCATTCTGTTTGTTTTATCTTTATTCAAAAGTAATTTGTTAGCTTTAAACCAATCTTCTGCCACATCCGGAGAAAACATAAACGCTTCAATGGATGCTTCCAATGAAGAGCCTCGCACCAATATCGTCGTGTCGTCAGCAAAAAGAGTGTAGTTTGGTTCATTGTAGCACTGTGGTAGATCATTAATGAAAATCAAAAAAAGAACGGGGCCCAAAACAGATCCCTGGGGCACGCCAATACTTAGTTTGCGCTTTTCTGATATCGCCCCAGAATATTGTACTGTCTGATATCTGTCTTCCAAATAAGACTTTATCAGATTAATACTTCGTGTACAAAAATTGTAAGCTTTAAGTTTTTTCAAGAGAATCTCCAAATCTAAACAGCCAAATGCCTTACTTAAATCGCAAAAAAGGACTGCGCAATACTGACGATGATGAAAAGAATCTAATATTTCTGAAATTAAATTAAGGATTGCTAGTCCTGTGTTCTTTTTCTCTCTGAATCCAAACTGCGAATCGTTAAAAAGGTTATAGTCTTCAAAGTAGTTTATTATCTGTTTGGCTAAACATTTCTCAAATACCTTGGAAATTATTGGGAGCAAGGATATAGGTCTATAGTTTTCCATCTCATCAGGATCATTTTTCTTATATATAGGTATAACTATAGCTCCTTTTAATATGTATGGAAATATGCCGTCTTTGATACATAAATTAATTAATTTCGTTAATGGTACTAAAATATGATTTTTTACGGTTTTAATCTGTAAATAACTTTACAATTAAACCGAATATATCACGGCTATTTTTATTAGTTATATTATCAATCACTTCACGGACATCGTTGAATGTAACTTCTCTAAAGATAAAACCAATATCGGGAACTCCAGGCAGCCGACCCAAATTCTCAAAACGATCATCATGTACAATGGGAATACTTCTCCTAATATCCGTTGCTATATTTGAAAAGTAATTGTTGAAGTCTTCTGCTGTTATTTTAGTTGTTTCAGGGGATATCTTATGTTTGCCAGAGTGCTTATTTATTATTTCCCACATACATTTTGCAGAATTTTTTGAACTACGCAGCCAGTTATCATTTGCCGAGATTTTAGCACTACTAATGGATTCTCTATATTTTTTCTTATGAATTATATATGCTTGTTTAAAGTTGGGATTATACCGTCCACACTGTTTATTTAAATCACTGAGTCATGACAAACGGTCCCTCATTGCTTTGAGTTCTTCATTAAACCAACTATTTAAGCCGGGTTGGTCGGATCGTAAGTTATATTTTTTTTCTGGAAATGAATTTAAGTAACATTCTTTTAAAATGCATATAAATCTATAAAATTTATCGTCAATATTTGTGTTCTTATCATTTATAAAATTCCAATCAATTTGAGCGACCTTATTATAAAAGATAAATAAGCCTCTTTGTGTTATTGGTCTACAAATCCGCAATACCTGTGTAAACATAGCAGTACCAACATTCAAGACAAGGTCAATCTCCTGCGCCATGTGGTCCGATATATTGAAATCTATAACCTTAGAAGACAAAATCCTTGCGTCGGAGCTAACAAAAATATTATCGAGGCAAACATTATGTCGGGTTGAAGAATCTATAGTCTGTTTTAAATTGTAACTTACCAAAAGATCACACAGTTCGAGTGAGTTAACGTCTTGCGTGTTAAAATGAATATTGAAATCTCCAGCCATTACGACAGTTTTGCAAGCATCCAGCGCACCGAGAACGCTCTCCACATTACCCATGAAAGTGTCAAACTGGCCGGACGGAGACCTATACAAAACTAATACATACATATAAAAATTTTCCACAAAAATACCTGAACATTCAAAGTGTTTCTCTATATTACAATCTATCACAATATCTAAAATATTCAGATTGTTTTTAATTAAAATGGAAATTATAATAATAGCCAAATACTAAAGATTATAAATCACTGTGTTTACGAGTTAAAGCTGATATATTTGTATACATATTTGCTAAAAAAATTCATGAAAATTGAGCTAAAAATAAAAAAATATAACACTAAATTTAATGAAAATTTTTTTGCATTTGAACGTATATAAATTAATAAAAAGATAATTGTGGTAAAAATGTTTCTCCAAAGTACGACCTGTGCTGATAAACAAAAAAAAATCGTAAAATTGAGAAAGGTAGCTTTTGCTATTTATTTTAATTGGAGATTATGAAGTAGTAAAATAAAACACTCATCACAATAGGCCAAAACTACTTTTCCTTTTTGATATGCATGTAATTTTTGTATAGATTTGCAGAAAAATATATGTTTTCACTGTTAATCATTAATAACTAATTTAATAATTTTTTTTAGCTGGGAGATACTGATTTCGATCAAGTAACTGATATAAGAGGGACGGTATCAATAACATCTAAAGGAGCCTGTGAGGTGTAATTAGTTAATGCACACATATGTATACAATTAAACGTATTATGTACTTTTTATATGTATATACATAAGTATAAATAGATTTATAACAATTAAAAAATTTAACAATAAATATTTGATACATTTTTATCCTAGATTTATTAATGCAAAGTTCAATATTTATCTTAATAATATTGAATTTAAAGTTGCTTAAAGGAACGGCAATACAATATGCAAGAAAAATTGTTGTTATCTATCTTTAATAATAATGTAATAATAATGCATGGACATAGACAGACATAACGACATAGCAAAAATAATTCACTGTGAAATATGCTGATGAAAGAACTGAAATCATAAACAACCCCCTATTGCAAATATACTCCTCAGGCAGTCATTAAAATTAAAAATTAAAATTGGAATATATACTAAGGCACATCAATAATAACTGACAAAGAAATAACACACAACAAACCGGACATACTTATTCTTATTTATAAAAAAACAAAAAATAGATAAAAACTGATAGATATAGCTGTACCACTTGATGATAACCTTGGAAAACTATATGCGGAAAAAATGAATAAGTATCAAGACCTAAGCTACTAATTAAAACGCTTGTATAAATTGAAGAAATTTCAAATATTACTGTTAATTATATCGTGCAGCGGACTCATTGGATGAAGATTTATGAATAACTTACAGATGTTGAATCTGAAGAACTTATTAGCAGAAATTGTACAGGGTGAGTCAACGATAGAGTAAAGTCCATTATCTCATTTATTTCAAGGTTTACAAAAAAATATTAAATACAAAAGTTATAGAGACGGTTAAGATACACATTTTAAATTATTATAGAGTATACAGGGTGCTTCAAAAAAGTGTGGCGAATATAACATATATTTTTTAAATGCAACACCCTATTTTTTATTTTATTTTTAGATTCTACGTAAAATTCTATAACTTTTTTGATAACCTAAAATTAATAGTTTTTGTAATATTTAAATTTGTTTAAACAAATGTTAGATTGCAGTGTGATAAAAAATTGTCAGTGATGGCATTGTTTCTGAAGTTGGACAACTAAAATTTGGTAGGAGAATTTTATAGAGATATAGAAAAATATCTATGTAAAGATATTCTAGTTAGATGCTACAGGGTGTTGAAAATATATTTATGAATTTCAACTATTTAAATTTAAAAAATCTCAACTTGTTTAAACGGGACACCCTATATATTATCATTTTTTCTGATAGATTTTACAAAACTCTTCAACTTTTATTAAGTATGTCATATACCTATTTTTAATAGTTTGCGATTTATTCCAATTTTTTCTACTTTTACCCATATTTTTAATACATTTTAATACAATTACGCTATAACATCATAGTTCCATAACAAAAAGTAAGCATTATCAAAATTTCATATCTATTAAGCAAGTTAAGAACAAAATTTGAAAAGTATAAATGGTAGAGATAATAGTTACAGATTGTCCTGAAACGAATTAGTGAATGTGACTAATTTACACGAACAAGCCAGGAAAAACATATTTTTTAGTTCAGTACTATATATTACATAGTACTTTTACTATAGTACTAAGTAGTATAAGAATAGATGTAGATTATCTAGAAAACATCTTCAATGTGTGTCAATATTGGCTTTAACAAATGAATTATAAACCAGAATTACTACGAGAAAAAAATTTACTGTATGTCGAAGAAAATTCCTGTATCAGTAATTTTGAACAATTAGGTAATCTAGTATTTACCTAATCTGTGACTATTCGCCCCGACGACGGAAAATCCAAGTGTCATCTTTCATAATATAGAAATACACCAAGAAATTCACGACTACGATTGTAATTTTTTTGGGTAAAGTTAATTAATTTTAACTAATAACAGCAACTGTAACTAATTTTTAAGCTACTTGTTAAAGATAAGTAATAAATAGTTGTGTTTTGTCATTGCAACTATATTTTTATAAGGTAATTGTATTAAAAATATATGTAAAAATAGAAAAAATTGGAATAAATCGCAAACTATTAAAAATAGGTATATGACATACTTAATAAAAGTTGAAGACAGTTTACAAAACAATAAATTTTGTAAAAATGTGTTCTATCAGAAAAAATAATAATATATAGGGTGTCCCATTTAAAGAAGTTGAGATTTTTTAATTTTAAGTAGTTGAAATTCATAAATATATTTTGAACACCCTGTATCATTTAACTAAAATATCTTTACTTATATCTTTTTCTTCATCTCTATAAAACTCTCCTACCAAATTTTGGTACTCCAACTTCAGAAACAATGGCACCGCTGACAATTTTTTACCACATTGCAATTTAATTTTTTTAAACAAATTGAAATATTATTAATTTGATTGTTTAAACAAATTGAAATATTACAAAAACTATTAATTTTAGATATATAACATTGTATATAAAAAATTTATGGAATTTTACGCAGAATCTAAAAATTAAATAAAAAATAGGGTGTTGCATTTCAAAAAACATATGTTATCTCCGCCACACTTTTTTGAAGCACCTTGTATACTCTATCATAATTTTAAAATGTGTATCTTAACCTTCCCTATACATTTTATATTTAATTTTTTTTGTAAACCTCGAAACAAATGAGATAATGAACTTTACTCTATCGTTGACTCACTGTACAAATGGCAGCTATTCTGGGCACCTGTCATATAATTAGTAAACTTAATAACCTTGGTCGATAAAACCCGGTTAAACTTCTCGCAATACCAACCGCACAAAGCGACAGAAAAAAATGGATGGATAGGTATTATTTCATGAATTTACTGCTCGAATAAACGCCAGACCAGACAGAGCGTTTTTTAATTTACTTCATGACATGTAAGTCAAAGTTCAAAAGGGGACTGTTTTGTAGGCCAATTTACCTACAATAACTTTTGTGTTAGGCATTTGGCTAGCTATCAAATGTTGTAACCTGTCTAAAGTATCAAACGTAGGCTTATTAGGTTGCTTTATATCTTCAAGAAGATGTACACTGTTTGGTTGTTCCAGAACATTTTCCACGTATGTTAAATATGTTGGCAAAAAACCCCAAGTAAAACTGTTAAGACTGTGTTTTAAAGAAGTAACACAAGAAAAAATTCGGGTATTATAGAGAGCTATATAATATCTATGTGGGTATGGGACAAGAGTTAAAATTTTAATTTGATTGCACAGTTTTAGACCTTGATCAAAGTCACATTCAATACGAACTTTCACTAATTCTAACCTGTTAAGATTTTTTAAAGTGCTTATATTTTTCAAGATATCAAATAAATAACACTCTCGACAATCTTCTAGTCGTAGCGTTTCTAAGGTGGTTAACGATTTGATAAAATTATCAGCAAAACTCTTAGGCAAATTAGCGCATTCGCCTAATGATAAATATTTCAGCGTTCCGTTCAGACCAATTTTACAATTTTCCAAATTTAAGCTGTTTAAATTTGTTACTCCAGTTAAAGACAGGCATTGTAGTTTTTTTGACAAATTAAGCGAATCGCATAAATTGTGCATTTCTCTATCGCAATGGATCTTCAGTTCAGTAATATTTGGTAAGAGATTTAAAAAATCTAATTTTATATGTCTTCCTGGAAAACCGCAAATAAAGTTGGCGTTGAGGCTGGTCAAATGCGGGTTATACTCTGGAATTTTTTCCATAAACGTTACATTAACTGGTGCTATCGCAAATTTTCTTAGTTCGGTCATTGTCTCAAGAGCTAGTAGAAGATCCTAAAACAAATAAGAAGCGTATTAAATAAAAGCATAGAAATGAAGAGCACACGGGAAAAACGATAAAAGTCCATTTTTGCTAATTTTGGTTTTAATCCATAATATTTTCCGTCTTAAAAAGCTACACGTTTTCGTGCCTAAATAAACGGGAATATCATAGAAACAGAAGCATTTAATTATACCACATACTCGGAAAAAACGATCGTCCATGCGTAATTTTAATTAAAAAAATGCTCTCCTGAACATTTATTGTTTTTGGACAATCATCGTTTTTCCCGTGTGTTCTTCAAATGATTTTAAATTATACTCATAACAACTTAGATTTAATAATTAATAACCCTTATAATATTGAGAAAAAAAAAACGTGGCGCTTAAGACAGGGGCGCCGACTTTTATAAAACTTCGTGGGTGCTCATCTGATATTGGTAAATGTAACAATATCCAGATTGTTACATTTGTTGTATTTATTACATATGTAACATACATAACAAAATTAGGAAAATACTATATATCAATTTATGTAAATTTTTCAATTCAGAATAAGTCGTAAACTATTAAAAATAGGTAAATGAGATACCTTATAAAAGTTGAAGAATGTTGTAAAATCTATTAGAAAAAATGATAATACATAGAATGTGCTATTAAAAAAATTGCGATTTTTAATTTTAAGTAGTTGAAATTCATAAATATATCTTGAACACCCTGTAGCTTCCAACTAAAATATCTTTTTCTACGACTAGCCTAGAAAATGCAGTTTGACACATGTTTGACACACGAAAAACTCGATCTGAAATTGACGTTTTGCAAACTGTCGTGTGCTAAGGATTTAGCGCACAATTTAAAATCTTTTAATTAAATTATAAAATTCTGAAATCAGAAAATATATTAGTTTTCTATAGTAAATTTGGCTTAATCAGACAATAAATAATTATACATTATTTTATAATAAATTCTAATAAAATATTAATTCAAAATTATTTAAATACAAGGTCAAGTTTTCTTTAAAATCTACAAAGTCCAGTAAGTAAAGATTCTAGAAAAATTCCAGAACCCGTCGAAGGTGGCCTCATTTTCGAGGTCAGGAAACAAAATTCCTTAGAAAAAATGCATCAATTAGAACGCACGTAGCCATCCTAAAAAACGGTGGGGACAATAGATTCTTCGAGAGAACCCACACCGGTTGTTAGGTGTTGATAACCACCGGTGTTTCAGTCGGTGTACCGGTGTTTATCTCGACATCGGTATTCATCTCAACACCGGTGTTTATCTCGACACCGGTGTTTATCTCAACACCGATGTTTATCTCAGCACCGGTATCGCGATGAACACCGGTATCGGTGTCGATGGTGCCGTTTGTTTTTTTTAGTTTTTTAATGTAATATTTTTTAGTTTATTTTACAGCTACGAATTTTTGTTTTTTTATGTTTTGTTTTGTTTTCTATTTATTTTTGATTAAACAATTGTTTACTTTATAGTTGTTTATCTGATGCTTTCACTTTATTTTAGTGATTAGTCTGGCAAAAAAAATATATATTTAAATTTGAAAACTTTAAGTTAAAGTCGGTGCGCTTTAATAAACGATAAAAATAAAAGCACCGATACGACATTATTATTATCAGGTTTATTTTGAACTTATTAATTAACATTATTTCTTCTTTAACCCGTTTATCAAACACCGGTGTCGATATCAAAACCAGTGTCGTGGTCAAAACCGGTATCGAGATGAACACCGGTGCCCAGACAAACACCGGTGTCGGTATCAATACCGGTGTCGGTGTCAACACCGGTGTCGGTGCCAAGTGCCAACACGGGCGTCGGTGTCGACACCGGAACACCGGATAGCTTATATTTGGCCACCGGTGTTAAAATGGGGTTCCGGTGTTTGGAACAGGCCTACTTATAATGCCGGGTCCAGACCAAGGCGACAAAAAATAAACACGATTTTGGGACAAAAACAAGAAAAACTTGTCACAAAAAATGGAGACTTCTGAGAAGACAAACTTGAGACAAATTGTCCACACCGCAATGACAAAAGTACAACAAAGTGAAAAGTTTAGTTGTTGCGAATGAGTTTTATTAACCATGTGTAATTTCACTGGTCTCTTACTGGTGGAAGCACACGCCATCCACACTGCGCCGACAACTTGTCGCAAAATATACAAACAAAACATAATAGACACTTTGATCTTTACCGACTCGAGACGGGACATTGAAAAGTCTCCGAATTTTGAAACAAAACAAAAATGTCGCAGAAATGTATTGGATTTGTCACAACTTTGTTGTAAAACATGAACGTTTCTGTCTTGTCACTGTTTTGTCTGCTTGGTCTGAACCAGGTTAACTATTCTTGGTCTGAACCCGGCATAAGAAACCAATTAAAATTGGTCGCGTCTTAAAAAAATCGACGCAATATTTTTAGATATTGACCTCCCTACAATAATGACCACGAGCCGCCACTGCATGTTACTTACATCGAATAATAGAAATTCGCAATCTATTATCTTCAAACTACACGTTCTTCGTTGGCATAAGAAATTAGCCATACTAGGAATATTCAGACGATATCCTGTCAATATAACGGATCGCCATAATATCGGGTCCAGAGCTAGATCTCTCCATAGTTTGCAAACTGCGCAGCAACGGAGCACATCTGGAGAATCCAACCATTTAAAAACCAGTGGCAATGTATTATGGGATATCCATTCAACGATCTCTGAATCTTCTTTTTCTACCATTTTTTTCCTTCTCACTGCTTTTTTATTATTCACCGTGGTCATTCTATCTTGAAATATTAGAGTAACCTATAACAAGTTATTTAAAAATCTTTTACGTTCTATAGCTAAACAATTTTATTTTTCAAAAATATGGTTTTTTAAGTCGTTAAAAAAGGGTAGGTAGAGCAACAAAATGAAAAAACAAAATAGATAATAGAAAAACTATTTAAAATACAAACTAGAAAATACTAGAATTGCCCCAAGACATATAGCCGGATGGGACTACCCTGTCCGTCATACCAGACACCCTTTACTCCTTTACTGTCTGTGGTCGGGTATCACAGGCAGGGGGGGGGGGGGGGGTCTTGGCTTAACCGCCCGAGGCAAGAGGAGACGACCTCAAAAAAACCTAAATCTTAAAAAAATTTATTACATCCAAGTTGTTTAATTTCTTGTTACTTACAGGCAACAATAGTTTTGATTATATGAATTACATGTATATTGAAGTAAACGGCGTCCAGTTGGCTTGGAAATGACTATCGATGACATTTCCTATATAATTTTCAGTGGCGGCTCGTCAGGGTAGGCAAGGTAGGCGGCGCCTACCCTAAGATTTTGGCAGAATTTAAGCGATTTATTAATCATTACATTATTTACTATTAATGTTGCCAATACATAATAATACTGTTAAAACACGGAAGTGTGTTTTAATAATCAATATTATTTTAATATTTGTGGTCTTGTATATTAACGATATTAACATATTAACTACCGCTGGCGTACGCTGACCGCTGACTGTGCCGCTGCGTTAAGGTGCGTATTCATTATACGAACGAACGAACGAACGATCGAATGAAAGTGCGGTATATTTAGACGGAGACCGAACGCATGCGGCCGTTCGTTCGTTCGTTCGCTCGACCATCCGTTTCGAGTCGGTACAACAAAGGCGTTCGCGTCCAGTCTTCTCGTGCGGTTCTATCGTACGGTCTCCGTCCATACCACTAGCGAACATTCGTTCGTTCGGATAATGAATACGCACCTTTAGAAAACAAAATAATTTTGACCGTTGGAGTGCCTTTGTTCGGCGATTTCTACATCGCCTACTATCAGATAGTCTTCTGTCTCTGTCTAACTCATCGTGCGGTAACGATGCGACGTAAGTCGGAGTTGTATCATATTAAGGCGGGGCTTAGGCGAAATCTCCGGTCGCCTTCGCATGAAGTCGTGGAGACTCGGTAGGCTTAGATGTTAAGGGGATATTCCGGATATTTCATAAGGAGATATATCACATTTCGTTAAGGGGATGTTTCATATGATTCATTATACGTAGCATTTAAAACTTCTATATGAAAATTCAAAAACCGTTTAAAGTAAATTGGAAACATTTTTCGGGCTTGTCGGAGATTATTAAAAATTATATAACCGGTTGTATTTCAGAACACGCCACAGAAATAAAAGAATCCGAAATAAAAAAGCGCGTTATTTTATTCGGTGCAAGAAGACGATACAACAGATATTACAGAAAAGTCTCTGTGCTATTTCAATTCTATATGTTAATAAAAGCGGCTAAGTCAAATATCTTTGCGAATTTTGTTTTATGAAATATTAGATAACATTGTTATACATTTAGAAATAGGGTTTGCAGATAGGTACTCGTATGTCTCAATTATTTTTATTTATCTCTTGCGGATCCGAAATTTAGAGAATCCTATAAAAAATTTCCAACGCATTTAACATCTCATTTAACAAACTTGTTATAACAATGTGATTTAACAAACAAAAAATGTTATTGACCAACATAAATTAATGAATAAATTGCAGGTATTAATAATAGATATGATAATTTCGAGCATAAAATAATTTAAGGAGAATAATCCTGGAAATATATTTCCATGCGATGTTCATTTCAAGCCATTGCTAACGCCGTTTTTTTTTTCGATCATACGGTATATTACCGCATGACGAGTCTTACAGCACAATACACGTCAATGAGATAGAGGTAACGTTATTTTACCTAGTTTTATTATAGTGTTTGTATCATAATAATGTGGATTAATATCAATTATAGGCACATATATCTTAGCTAAGAATACTGATGATACTAAGCTTTATGTTTTATCTTTTTCTCTTTAGAAGAAATATGGTTTGTGTCGTAGAATACATTACAGTATTTAATATTCTGTACTTTGATATTCTTTTCTTAATTTACTGTAATTTCTTTCCTGTAATGCTCCTCTGAATGCTCCGAATCTTGATAATATGGTGAAGATTCATTTTGATCTTATTAGATTTATACACAGACCAACTTAAGACTTAAGTTAGTTTGTGATTTATATTAATAAAGATATTTTTTATAAATTTTTTTATATCTTAATACCTACTATACATAAGTAAGCTTCAAGCTTTTGTGGTTTGGAGAATAAATGTTAAGATATCTTTTATACTTGCATATCCTGCTTCCACTACGAAAAATATTGTTTATAAATCATATATGCTAAGAAAATCACAAAAATTACGTGTAAAAATAGAAAAATCTTAAGGTAGCAGAAAGATTAATGCAATATATGTATAAGCAGAACTAAACAAGGTACCGCGCGATTATATTGCTATTCCGCCGTTATAATTACGGAGGCTAAAAAGTCTTTTTAATGGCTACGTTATAGTTTTAATGGAATGTTATGAAACCTATTATAAACATGATATGGAAAATATTGAGCTACAGCATTGTTAAAAAAAAAGAAACTTGGACACGCTCCTTTTAATTTCCGAGTTTTTAATAAAGCACTTTTTATCAGATTAATTGCGAGGCGCTTAGAATAAAAGGGATACAATTAACTTTTTTCTAAATGCAGATTTAAATCATTTAGGTACCAATTTATTTGATATAAAATGGAATTAAGGAAATTCTCCAGTGGCACTAATTTAAGTAGAGTAGAGTGTAGAATTTACTTAATTTCCTTTTATACTAAATAAATTGGTATCTAAAGTGTCTAAATATGTACTTAAGTCCATTTAGAACAGAAATGATCACTTGTATCCCTTTTATTCTTATAAGCGCCTCAATTATAGCAATCTAGAGTTTTATTTCTATTTCATTTTATTGACTATGAAAATACATAATAAGCGTTCACGTGTTGTGCGAAATATTAAAAATAATAATATAAATAATACCGTATGATCGAAAAAAATTGGCGTCAGCGATGACTATGAAATGAAGATCGCTATCATTTCATATGAAAATTTATATGGGAAATGTCATCGATCGTCATTTCGCAGCCAAATTTTTTTTCGGACGCCGTTTTTTTCGATCATTAGGTATATATTGACAAAAAACACTGAAAATCACATTATTTGTTTTCTACTGACAATAATTCGAAAATAAACTGCAATCTGGCAACATCGAGGATGTGCGCATGCGAAGTATCTGTGACTATATGCAGCAAAAACTCGTTTCAAGATCAGCCATCGGATCCACATTTTTACCCATAGAGAAAGATAGTAAACAGTTATATAAACTTTACCAGTTTGGTAATGGTGTGGATCCGGTGGCTGACTTTGAAACGAGTTTTTGCTGCATATAGTCGCAGACACTACGCATGCGCACATCTTCGATGTTGCCAGATTGCAAGTTATTTTGGAATTATTTCCAGTAGAAAACAAATATGTGCTTTTCAGTGTTTTTTTTGTCAATATATACAGTATGATCGAAAAAACGGCGTCCAGTTGGCTGGGATATAACGATTGGGATATAACGAGGACATGTCCCATATAAAATGACAGCGATCTTCATCATAGTACGCGCGGTATGTTATTATATTGTTAAGGTCAAGGTGCATTACTGGTTGCATAACCGCAACGTGCATTGAGGAACCTGGCGAATTCGACAGAAAGTAAAAGAAAATTACAGAATTCTTTAGAAAATTCCAGAAACCATCGCCAGGGGGTATATAAGGCCCGCGCTTTGACAGTTGGACAAGTCTGAAGATAGTCTGAAGTCTGAAGTTTGATAATACCGCGAAATACCGTTAGAGTAATAGTAGTTGCATAAGTTGTGTTGTAAATAGTATAAGTTGTGTGTACAGAGTGAAACAAATAAATTCGTTAAGTATTTTTTATCGTGAGTTTAAATAGTGGGACCCACGGAATCCGTAACAATTGGTGTCGGAAGTGCGATTCAAGAAGATTTTAAGAAGAAATTAAGTGGATTGGAAGATTTTTAGACCGGATTAGAGTATTTTTATGGTTGGTACAAGGGAACAAGCGAAGAAAATGGAGGAAGTAAGCAAACTATTAGGCGATTTTATGGAGAATATGAGAAGGGAGAAAGCAGAAGAACAAGAAAGACTCCGTAAAGAACGAGAAGAAGAGCGAGCCCGATTAGAAAGAGAAATGGAAGAGGAAAAACTACGACGTCAACAAGAACAGGACCGGCTTGAGAACATTTTCGAGGATTTGAAAGTTCAACGACAACAAGAGAAACAAGAAGAACAGGACCGGCTTGAGAAAATACTGGGTAATTTGGAAATTCGTTTGGAGGAGCGACGTCAAAAAGAAAGACAAGAAGAACAGGACCGTATTCAGAAAATTTTCGAAAATCAAGGAATTAGACAAGAACGGTTGGAGAAAATTGTTGAAGATTTAAGTGCGTCGCCAGAAAGAAAAATTTGAAGATCAGGACCGTCTTAAGAAAACTTTGGAAAATCAGGAATTTCGACTACAGAAGAATTTTGAAGACCTGGAAAAACGGCAGGAAAATCAACTTCAAGAAACCGTAGAAGATCTTGAGGAACGCCTTCAGCAGAAGATAGAAAGATTGGAGATGGACCTACAGAAGACCAAGGTACAAGTAAAGACACCTGGCGTTCAAGGAACAGCGAACCTTAAGGCCCCGACCTACGATGGACAAACGACCTGGACGATGTACCACCGCCAGTTTGAAGCAGCCGCCGCTGCCAACGGATGGACTGACCAGGAGAAAGCAGCGGCACTTGTCATCGCGCTGCGTGGCCCTGCCCTGGAACTGCTGCAAACTATTCCTGCAGCCCAAGAGCAGGAATACGAAACTTTGATTGCTGCACTGGACAGAA